CATGTAAATAAATGTAGGCGGAGGGAAAGTCGTCCTTACAGTAGAATGCCACCTAGTAAATGCAGCTCAGATGGTGAAGTCAGAAATTACTGGGTATTAACAGAATTTGTGTATAATCTCAAAGTAGCTCCCCATAAATTACCTGCTAATTAGGAAGAAAAGTAATAAATTTAGGGTGGAAACTGGGCAGGCACTTGGTTTGCCACCAGCGATGGGACCACCCAGCATGGCGTTCTTCTTGATGGGGGGCAGCGTCACTTCCGTGCATTCCTGCCGAAAACGCCCCACACGACCTTGGCCCCGAGGACAGAGGGACGTTCTGCAGCATGACTGCCCTGGACTCTTGAGAAAATCACGGCTGGGACGGATGAAGACTGAGGAGCCGCCCAGTTTAGAGGAGACTGAAGATATGTGACGATCAGTGGAGTTATGGTCCCTGCCTGGGAAGAAGACAGTGACTCGAAAGGCCATGGCTGGACAGTGGAGGGAACCTATGTTTGACTTTTGGATTATTGGTATTATCTCAGTGCCAGGCGGCCTGCTTCCGTTGGTCTGTGGCGTGTCAGGGTTCGGCGAGGGAGCAGAGCCTCTGTGAGCTACAGGAAGGAGTTGATGTGGCTCCTTGGCCTTGAGCGCTGGGGTGGGAGGAGGAGCTGTCACAGCCCGAGACCCTGGCGCCAGTGGCCACAGTAGGGCAGGTGGGCGGGGCTGGCACCTTGTCACCTTCCAAGGAGCGGAAGGTGGAGAAGTCAGTGACAAGAGTGGCATTTCCAAGGGCCTGGGTGTACTAGTGTCTTTCTGACCGTGCTTTCAGTTCTTCTGAGTGTGTACCAAGGGGTGGAGTTGTCAGATCATAAGGTAATTCTGTTTTAATTTTTTTGCCATATTGTGTTCCATAATGGCTGCACCATTTTCCATTTCCACCAGAATGCTCAAAGGTTCCCTAGAAGTTGAAAATAACTACCAACCTAGAACTCCAACCCAGTGACAATACCCTTGAAGAATGAAGGGGAAACAGAGACAGCTTCAGATCGACAAACTGAGAAAGTCACCAGCAGCCGCTTGGTACAGGGGATATTTCAGGACTTTCTTCAGGCAGAAAGAAAATGCTCCGAAGTGGAAACTCCTCGATACAGAAAGGAAAGGGCAGATGTGTGGGTGACTCTAGGTGACTGCCGTTGGGGTAAAACAATGCAGTGATGTCTTGTGGGGTGTAAGCATGCATAGAATTCAAATACAGACGCAGACCGCACAGCACTGTGTGAGGAGGTGATGGAGTTAATTCTGACCTTGTCTTGCCTGGGAGGAGGTAAAATGGGCTAACTGGACTTTGATACATCAAGGGTACTGTTATAATCTTTACGAGAACCACTGAAAGAAGAGTAAAAGGGTTACTTTATTAGTGGGAGGAGATGGAAAATAAAAAAACATTCCGGAAGAGCAAAAGAAAACAGAAGAGATGTCACCAACAGAAAGCAGATGATAGGCTGGTGGACCCACCCTCTCAGTGGTCACACCAAATGCAGAGGGACCAGATGATAGGCTGGTGGATGCACCCTCTCAGTAGTCACATCAAATGCAGAGGGACCAAATGATCTGATTAAGGGGAAAATTGTCGAAGTGGATTTTGAAAAGGCTGGCTGCTTACAAAAGACACAAAATAGAAGACTATAGAAAGGTTAAATGTGCAAAGATGGAAGATAGCAACAGAGAGAACGGCCGCGTGGAGGCCTGTTCGTGTGGGTCCCATCGAGGTTTTGTTCTGAGAACATGGAAGCTACAGAAAAATTGGGAGTTTCCTTAGAGGCACCAGCTGGGAAGTTTGCCGTGTCCTCTGTGCCTGTCTCTGTGTGGGTGTGTGTATCTGCACACAAGCACACACGTGCATGAGCACACACATGCACATGCATGCCTGGACACACTCCCTCCCGCCCCCGGTTCCCGGCTGTCTTGTAGGGTCTGGTCCTGGAGTCCCCCACATGACATTTCCTCTCACACATCATTGGCCAGACTTTCTGTCATGTCTGTCTACAGCGAAGGCCCTGCGGTGTCTGTTTCCACTGCAGGAGATGGGCACTCGTGGTCTCTGTCCCAGGAGCCAGCTTTCCTGTTAGCACAATAAACAGGTGACAGCTGTTTCTTTCTTCTCTCTTCCCTTTGTCTAAACTTGGAGCTCAGGTACATAGTGAGGTTTGCTCTGTCCTGGGGGCTATAGAAAATTCAGAATCCATGTTTTTCCTGCTTATTGCCTTAAAGATGGATTTTCTATACATGTGAAAGACACACCTGGGACCTGTCAGGGCAGGAAGGCAGACCGTTTCAGACGCATCAAAGCTGAAAGCTTGTTCCTGCTGGACGTGGTTCTCGCCACACTGGAGGAGGGTGAAGGTGGGTGCGTGTGGGTGTGCGGGGTACAGAGCACAGACCCCCATGCTCGTCAGCTGCAATGTGGGCTCGGGCTTCTGTGCTGAGAAAAATTTTTTCTCTTTAATTTGAATTCTCTTTTTTTTTGTTTCACCAAATAGATGTTTATAGAAAGTTGCCAAAGTTTAATATTCCTTAAATGTAGCAGAGAAACGGAAAAGTAGTATAGCACTTAGCCTGTGATCTGAATACCGTGCAGTGGTCATTATGGTGACAATATGTGTGGTTGTATTTTTTTCAGCACCAGAGGAATAGCAGTGTCCTTTAAAAATAATGGTTTATGATACTTAAAGCAGAGTGTGATGTTGCAGGTGGGCATCGTCTTGTCTGCTCCCTGTCCGGCATTATCCAGACAAGGAAGCATACACAAACACAGGAGCCCGGACGGATGTCCAAGTCTCTGAAGATGTCCCCTCCCTCCTGTAAGCCTTTGGACGGGACGCAGTCCTCAGAGCCTTCGCAGCCCTCTCACTGCCCTCCTGTGGCTGGAATGTGGCAGTGGCCTGCAGGGATGCCCTTAGGCTGTAGTAGGGAATGAGAAAGACTGTGTGTGGTGTTGGACAATGACTAACCCCTCTGAGCCTCATTCCCCGTCTGTGGAGTGGGGACGATGAGCACCTGCTTTCTGAGCTAGCGGGTTAGTTATGTGGCTGTGTCACCATCCACTGCGGTGGCCTCGAGGGCTGGAATAAGAGGGGCATCGTGGCTGGCACTGTTTTCATGTTTGTGGCCTCAGGTGCCACTCCATCCAGAAATGCAGAGGCCGAGACCCCTGGGGGAGGTGGCCCAGCTCCCTAGGGCCTCTCTTCCAGCCACAGTGCCTGGCCCAGCCCAGCTACCACGTCCTATGTGATGGATGTCCAAGATACTGAGGCGCCTGGTCCTGCCGTCTTGTCAAAATGCCTTTTCCTGAGTGTGCACAGCACTAATTAGGGTTTCCAGAAGGTTCTGTTCAGTAGGCGATGAGTGTCCACAAGGGGTTCTGTTGCCTTAGAAACTATCTGGTTTCCCCTCTTTCTGCATTGAGGGCACTGAAGTCTGAGGGACGAGGTGACTCCTCCAGGTCCCTGGCGTCAGTCACTCACGGCAGGCTGTCACTCACGAATATGGCAAGGGCCCGGGGACTGTTAGCAGCAACGCCCTAGTCAGAAGTGAGCCTGGAGCTCTGAGGGCCATGACTGTGGCCGAGGGTGCAAATCGCTGAGCATTCAGCAGGTACCCAAGCCACCTGCACAGGCTTGCTGGGCCCCATCACCTCATGGCCTTCAGGGGACCTCTTGGTCATTGCCCACGTTCTCTGTGAGCTATGGAGATGTGACAGATGTTGTTCTCCAGGGACAGTCTTTGGGAAGGGGAGGAGACACTGCGGACGGCAGCGAGGGGTGGGTAGAGCTGATGCGCGGATCAGCGGAACAGCGCAGAGCCCAGACTGGATGTGTATGTGAGGGGAGTTAGGATATGAGGAAGAGCAGGTTTAAAACTATTCAGAACAAGAGGGATTGTTCAGTAGGTAGCGCTAATAGCTGGCTCTCCACCTCAATGCGAGGGAGTGAGGTAGACCTTACACACGCATCTCAGGTCAAGATCTGAATTAAAAAAACTACTGAACCATTTGAAGAAAAATAGAAGGATGTATTTATAGTCTTGGAATGAAAGATACAAAAAAAATCTATGAAGAAAAAGATTGGTAAATCTGATTTCGTAGAAATAAAAAACTTGTGTGTGACCAAAATCAACATAAACAAAGTTGAAAAAGAAGAGTGACATTTAGGGAGAAGATGTTTTTGCGTATTAACCAGAGGTTGATGGTAAGAGTGTTTAAAGACTTCTGTAAATCACTAAGAAGCTTCCAAACAGCCCAGTAGAAAATGGACAAAAGGTATGAACAGATAAGGAAAAAGAAACTTAAGTGACACTAAAACCACCAGCCTGACATTAACCAGGGAAATGCACACTATAGCTAATCACGTGACAACAGGTGGCAGTGAATCCACCCAGGGATGGTCACTGCTCCTGGTAGGAAGTGACTAGAGGGCAGTGTGACAGCCTCTGTTAAGCCCACACTTCCCCCACGTTCCATCTGGTGGCGCTTCTCAGACTGGTGCACAAGAGTCCTGGTTGGCTCTGTGACGGGGTTGTGACATGCTGTGTCATCAGGTTCTTGTGAGAACCAGCACCAATGTCAATGCTGCTGCTGCTGGCGACACCCAGGGGGGCGGTTTCCTCTTGAGCAAATAAGTCTGCATGCAAGGCTCTTTAGGAGAAGAAAGAGCAGAACAGCTGGGTCCCGTTTCTAGTTATATGCGTGAAAACCAAACCCAAATGATGACCTGTGTGCTCACTTGCTTGTCTCCCTAAATGCCCTGGGCATCTTCCGGTCTTAACCAGCCCCTCTGGGAAGAGCAGTGAGGCAGGAAGCAAGGTGGAGACGCCAGCCCTTTGTGCTCTGCGTTTTTTGTGAATCGTTTGCATTTGTAGTTCATATATTAGGATATCTATCCAGATGACTCTGAAAATGTGGGTTAATGCGAGAGGGCCTTGTGGAGCCGCTGCTAACGTGCCCTCCTTGTTCTCAGGTATGGATCCTGGCGGGAGCCTGTCAACCCCTACTATGTCAACTCCGGCTACGCCCTCGCCCCAGCCACCAGCGCCAACGACAGCGAGCAGCAGAGCCTGTCCAGCGATGCCGACAGCCTGTCCCTCACCGACAGCAGCGTGTAAGTGCCCCGCCTGGGCAGTGCAGCCCCTCGGAGCACAGCAGCCTGTGCCAGGCCTAGCTGGGCTTTGTCTTCATGGACGGTGTTTCACTGTCCTCCCCCAGCTTGATGGTAGCGCATCGGTTGTGGACAAACTGCATTGCAGGAAGAGTCGTTGAAAATCCTTGCGCACGAGAACTGCGTTTTGCATTAGTTGCTTCTCTCTGAGGCCAAGGCTGCTGGAGCTTTTGAAAGGGGAAGACCAGGGGGTGATGCAGAGTCCAGAGCTGCTGGGGCTGGAGTGCTTTGCTGCATAGTCTAGGGGTTCCCTTTAAAGGTAGGCGACCAAGTGGGGTGACTGCCTGCCCGGGTGGTGGTGACACCAGCCCTGTCCTTGGAAGGCCGCGTTGCTGTGTGAGCACATCTCTTGTTGATGCTGTTCTGGACTTGTCAGTTTTTTTAATCCAGAAACTGTCATATCAGGTCAGCGGTCACTGTCGTCTGCTCAGTGTTGGGGGACGGAGGCAGGAGCAAGAGGGGAAGTCGGCGCAGCTGGTTCTGTGCGGGCTCTGGTGCGCGCATGACTCAGGGACAGCCGCTGGGGCTGTGTCCGAGAGGCCTTGGTGACCACATTGAGCCTCTGTGTCCCTTGGTGGGGACAGCGGACCTCACTCTTTCATCATCCTCTCCAGGGAAGCCCTCTCTTTGAGGGAAAGTGCTTGTTTTCTGACACCTCCTTTGCGTCAGCAGGTGGCTTTAGGAGTTTGAAGGTGTGCAGCACTCTCTTGTTATGTCAGGGCATTGCCCATCCAGCCCTTGAGGTCATTTGGGGGCTTGACTGGGCCGCCAGGAATGTCAGACTTGCCCAGCTTTCGTTCCGTACGCCATTTGCATCTGACCACCCCTGATGGGAAGTTTCTGGTCAAGGCCGGGGCCTCAGGCCGGGGCTTTGGGCCGGGGGCCGGGGCCGACCCTTGGGTGCCTTCCATCAGTGTCAGGGCAGAAAGGAAGCCTTTGGCTGTGATGATGAACAGGAGTGAGTCTGCCGACAGTGACAGCAGATGTCTTTTGCCCACGAGGCCGGTGGGCCCGGCTGGGACGCCTAGTGGTGGGGCATCAGCTGCCAGCTGGTCACCAGGGACTTCTCCCCACTCGGCTTGTCTCTTCATGCGAAGAGTTTGGGAGTCAGATAGGTTTAAATAAGAAAGAAGAACAGGGCTCCTAAACCCTTGTTTTTGTCGGTGGACATGTTTTTGACTCGCTGTCCCCCTTGATATGCTGTCTCTATAGTTGCCCCTTTCTTTTGCTCTGTTGTTAAGCGTCTTCCAGCACCTGACGTGGAGCACCGGACAGCCTCTCACAGCTGTTCTGAGCCGGTGGCCAGCCCTGTCACAGTGCAGCTTGGGCTCTCTCCCCTGCAGTGACCACACGGTGGTGACCTCACTGGGCGGCTCTGCCCCTGCAGGTCGGGCTTCTGTCGGGGTGTTTCTTGTTGATCATTTCATTCTCCTTTAGTCTGAATCTTCAAGATAAAATGTTCACATGTTTTCAGCAACTTCTTGTTTGAAATTTGAATATTTTCAAACAGTATCTGCCATGACTATAAAGTGTCATGTAAAACACTTGTAGCCCACACAGCCCCACTCAGCCCCACACAGCCCCACACAGCCCCACACAGCCCCCCGCAGCCCCACACAGCCCCACGCAGCCCCACTCAGCCCCACTCAGCCCCACACAGCCCCCACAGCCCCACACAGCCCCACACAGCCCACACAGCCCCCACAGCCCTACACAGCACCCCTGCAGCCCCACACTGCCCCACTCAGCTCTACACGGCCCCACATGGCCCCACGCAGCCCCACGCAGCCCCACGCAGCCCCCCGCAGCCCCACACAGCCCCACGCAGCCCCACGCAGCCCCACACAGCGCCCCCGTAGCCCCACGCAGCCCCCCCGTAGCCCCACGCAGCCCACACAGCCCCTCCAGTCCCCCAGAGTCCCCACGAGCAGCTGGCAGCATAAGATTGTGCATTTGTAGCATCTGGTTTTCCTCTTCCCTGAAACTCTGTTACTATGATGAAAATTAATCTGCCCAAGCAGTTTTCTCGAAGTCTCTTAATTCTCTCCAAGGAAAGGACATATGTTTGCTAAAGGGAAGATCTAAAATTTTAAAAATAGAGTTTTTTCCTGATATTCTGTTCATCTTGGTTTACACTGAGACTCAGAAATGTAGGAATAGTCAAGAATTGAGAATGTCAAGTTGTGACAGATATTTGAACATGTATCAGAGGCAGAAGACACGATGGCGTGTTTCGTCTGCACTATTTCTTGGGGGGCAGCTACATGCAGTGCCTCCCCTGCGCGACAGAAGCATGGGCTGGCCTAGTGGTCTGTGACTGTGGACCCGACCCTGGCTCAGGGGCATGTGACAAACCCAGGGGCAGGTAGAGACGTTTTAAATGTGAGTGACTCACTTGTTCTTGATGCCTGTCCCCTCGATGGCCCCTGCCCCCCTGGGTCGCTGAGCCAGCTGCACGGCAGCACCCGTTGGCGCCCTGACAGCAGGGTACTGGGGTAGCGACAGGAGGGAGAGGCCGTCACAGCCCCTCTCACCCCTGCTCTGAAGCAGAGCGCGCCCTTTCCATCCAGACTGGGGCTCTGAGGCCTGTGGTCTTAAGAGAAGGACATTGCAGCCCGGCCTGCTGACGGAGCTGCCAGGCTGGTGGTGTACGGCTGACTAGGACATGGGCTGAGCACCAAGGGGCACGGTGGTGGCTGCGCTGCGCCATCCAGCAGTTAACACAGCCAGGACAGAATGGTTGCGGCTGTGTGTGCATCCTGCTGTTGAGTGAGAGCAGCACTGCTCTGGCAGCACCCCGGCCCCTGCGACGCGCCCCACCCCCTGGGCATGCTGGGGAAGGAGGCGAGTGGCCAGGAGTCCTGATGTGGATCTCCACCGCACCGCTGGAGGACGGGGAGGCCGTGGTCCTTCCATAGCTGGACGCTCAGAGACCCTCCTTTTTAGCCGTCGGAGGCGGTGGCCCCCTCCCGAGTCCTTCACTGAGAAGGGAAGCCACTCTCTGGGTGTCTTGCCCTGGCAGGCGTCTTTGGGTGGCGCTGCTCCTCTTAGCTGCTGCGCTCCCCAGGGTAGCTCTTGAAGAGTGGGGAGAGGACTAGAGAGTTTTTAGGGACTGCATCTGTGGGGTGAATTTTGTGTTAAATCTGGCATCCGTCTTAAGTAAGCGCATTTACTTATATTAAAGACAATGTATAATTTTCTTTAGATGTTTGTCATAACCTTCAGAAGGGTTCGTAACTAAAACTTACGTCAAGAGATCTAATTGGAGCCTCCCTCAGAGAGGTTACACTGCTCTGCCAGTTCACCCTGGAAGGAGGCGGCACGATGGAGTCTTGGAATCTCTTTCCATGGGGTCTCGGTGGTCCTGGCCACCCACTTCGTAGTCCTCCAGTGCTCCCGGTCCATCTAGAGCCCCCGCCCAGCGAGGCACAGCGCGTCCCCCGCCACGATAAAGCAGGAGTCGGCCAGCCTTTTCTGTAAAGGGCCAGTAGTAAATATTTTAGGCTTTGTGGCCACATACGGTCTCTGTCACATATTCCTTCTCTACTTTAAAAACGTAAAAACCATTCTTAGCTCTTGGGACTAAGAAGAACAGGCTGTGTGGGCCCTGCTGTGGGTAAAGCCAGCACAGCGAAGCTTTGTGGAGCTGTTCATTGTGCTCACGCCAGGCTCTCTCTCTGACAGGGATGGAGTCCCTCCGTACAGGATCCGCAAGCAGCACCGCCGGGAGATGCAGGAGAGCGTCCAGGTCAATGGGCGGGTGCCTCTACCTCACATTCCCGTAAGTCCGGCCGTGTGGCCTCGTGCTCCTCGTCGCCAAGTTCGGGGCTCACCAGTCCTCTTGGACCTGTGCCCATCCGTTCTCCCCACCCTGACTGGCAGCTGTGGCACCGGCAGGTGGGAAAGGTCCTGGCCTGGCCTCCTGTGAGCTTGGCTCGCGTCCAGGCCGAGTGTGGGGCCAGTGGCTTACTGGCCTGGCCCACGCATTGGTTCAGAAGAGCAGGAGTGCCCTCACCCAGCACCCACCATTTGGTCTTTGCCCACCGTGTTAGCAAGATGCTTCTCCTCTAGGTGGGCGAGCGGCTCTGAGCCTCCGTTGCCGGCTCTGTGCCCAGGCTGGGCTCCTGCACAGGCCACCTGACTGCAGCTCTATCAGAAAGCCTGTAGGCGCCCCTTGGTGCCCCCGATCTCAGGTTACCTTGTTCTTCAAGTGAGCACTGCTCATTTAAGATGAAACGAGGCGTCGGCCTCTTGGGGGCTGAACGGTGGCAGTCATCACGTGGTCATCCTGACTTCAAAGCTTTGACTCCTGGATAAAGATAATAAGATGACGGTGGTTCTCCCGATTGTGGGCACTGGGGGCTTCTCAGAGCCCAGTGTGGAGCGGGCGAGCACAGCCTGCCTCCCTCCGCCTGCACAGAGCTCCTTTGTAGATGAGCATGTGGAACACAGGGACTCTAATGGGAAGGACTTGCAGAGGGAGAGTGGAAGCCTACGAGGGGGTCTTCACCCGATGGGCCTGCAGCCTCCGAGGGTGACGCCATTCATTTGCAGTTTCTTTGCAGGGTAGCACCCACCCTAATCGGGATGCCTTGGTTAGTCTTTTAGCTTCTCTGCAGATACTTGAATTTCCAAATAAGAAAAGTGATTGTTTATGACTGAGAAGAAAGGATGTTGGTTTGTTGTCACTTCTAAGAAAAGGATGGTTGAGCATTTTGTCACCTCCCAGTCAACCCTTGACACAGATTTGGCCTGAACGAGACACTGATGGTGTCTCCTTAGGGACAAGTGGAAGGCGCTGTGGGTAGTGTGTGTGTACACATATGTGTGCACATGTGTGCCTGCACGTGTGTGCATGCTGCAGGTGACCTCCCAGGAAACACCCAGTCTGGCTTGTATGACCTGGAGCTGTCTGGGCCCCGGCCTAGGCAGGGGACTGCACACATCTCCGCCTTGCTTTGCAGTGATGCACATGGCTGTTCAGCTCTGCTTGGTGTACACTCACACTCAGGACCAGGGCTGAGCAGGGGAAGCAGAAGGGAGCCTGGCTCCTGTGTCCCTCACTCTCTCGCTTTTTGCGACACAGGAGCCACTCACAAGGGCTCCTGTCCCCCAGACAGTAAGAACATCCAAGTTAGTGGCAGTAAGGTCAGAATTCCTCTGTCTACACTGACATAACCAGTGACCTAGGTGTTTGACGAGGAACAGGATATTTACGTTGTCCCAGATAGCCCCTCGCAAAATACTGACTCACAGTAGGGAAAGCAACTTCAGGGGACTGCCTGCAGGCCCTCCTGGGTCAGTGGTCAGGGGCTGTCGTCAGCGACAGGACAGACGGATGTTGGCCCTGCTAAGACAGTGAGAAGGGCCTGGCACCCCCCAGGGGGCCTCCTGCCGGGAATGTCACCAGAACATGGCCCAAGTTGAGGGCCGTGCTATATAAGAACTGGCTTGTGATTTTCAAAAGTCCTAGGGGTCATGGAAGTCCAGGTAAGACTGAGGCTTGGTCCAGACGGAAGGTGGCCTGAGAGACAGCCCAGCTGAGCCACCGTGGGGCTTCAGGGCCTGGGGGTGCTTGTGTCAGAAAGTCCTCATGTGTGGGAGACATGCCAACAAATTCTGCATGATGGGGCATCAGGTAGGCAACTTCCTCTCAAAAGATTTGGAAAAAGCTTCTTTGTATCATTCTTGCAACTTTTCTGCAAGTTTAAGGGTTTTCCAAAGTAAAATTGTTATAATTCGATAAACAGAATATTAGGCAAAACCTAAAGTGCAAATTGGCGAGCTGGAGAACAGACCTGGAAAGACTTCTCAGATGTGCCACAGAGAGGAGGGTATGACAGCTGGGGGGAGGCAAGAGTCAGGGGTGCCGCTGGGAGAGTGTTCCAGGATGAAGAAAAGCTAGGTGTCCTCGGGTTCTGGAAGATCTCAACTAACTGTCGGTGGGAATTGGAGCTGAGAGAGGCGGTGGGCACTGGTGAGAACCTGGCCTGACCACTGGGTGGACAGTCCATAGCCTGGCAGGCCACCCGGCATGATCTCTGGGCCGTCGCATGGTCGCTGAGAGGAGCTGCAGGTGCAGCACTCAGATCAGGCCTGGCCCTGGCTAGACCTTCAGTGAAAGCAGGAGGTGCTGTGTGTTCCAGAGAGAACCCAGTAGTTTCTGAGTCCTGAGTGCTGGCCAGGGGAGGTTTAATGAGCCAATGCTTTTTGAGCTGTGTGCACGTTCAGGGGAATGGGCTGAGGCCCAAGTGGCCTGGGCACAGTGAGGCAGCGAGCACCGAGGGGGCACAGCTCCACCACTGCCTGGCCTTTGTTCCCAGGGCCTGGCGAGAGGAGAAGCTCTCGGTGGCCTGCTTCTCTGCAGCGTGGGAGCTTCTTGGTGCCCGAGGCCTGGCTGTCATCGTCATTGGCGTGTCTGGAGGCTCAGCGGAGGGGCCTCGAGGTGCCTTCTTTGGGGGGTGCAGCTGCGCGGGACTTGGAGAGGGTGGGGCCGCAGGGGGCGGAGCTCTGCCTGGGAGGAGAGGCTGGGTCCCTGGAGAGCGGCCGTGTGGCCGTGCTGGGAGGCATGGATGGCGGCCTGGTGCTCAGCCCAGCATGTGTCCGGGACAGAAGGTGCAGCCTTTGGCTCAGTGATGGTGGTTTCAAGTTCAGAGTGAAGAGACTTGGCGTTCCGTCCGTGTATCCCACGTGGACGCCCGTCCCACAGACGAGGAGGGATGCTGTTTCCCGTCCTCCTGGCGGCTGCCGAGTCTTGGGAGTGGCCGTCTCTTCTGTGACCGGTGACCGTGCCGCCTCAGGAGCCTGTGCACATTCGCTTCATCGTCGGGCCAGAGGTGTGGTGGCGGGCGGAGGCGGGTCCAGGGAGTGTGGTGCTCCCGCTGGACGCGCGTGGCCCGTGGCCTCCTGCCTTCCTCCGTTGCCTGAGTTGGGGATGTAGCTCAGGCTCTGCTGGAGTCTCTGTTCTGTTTACGAGCTGTTTCTCTTTGTTATTATTATTATTATTATTATTTTTGAGGAAGATTAGCCCTGAGCTAACATCTGCCACCAGTCCTCCTCTTTTTGCTGAGGAAGACTGGCCCTGAGCTAACGTCTGTGCCCATCTTCCTCTACTTTATATGTGGGACGCCTGCCACAACATGGCTTGACAAGTGGTGCCATGTCCACACCCAGATCCGAACCGGCGAACCCTGGGCCGCCGAAGCGGAATGTGAGAACTTAACTGCTGCGCCACCAGGCTGGCCCCTAGGAGCCATTTCTAAGCGGATCTGAGTGGCCTGCCGCATGCAGGGGTCCTGGCGGCGTGACCCACAGGGTTTTGGGGGCCAGCTTAGGGGGACAGTGTGGGTGACTGCTGTGGCACGGAGGTGCCAGCACTTGGGGGACCCTGGAGTCGTGAAGTGTCTGGTCCTCAGATCCTTGCAACTGAGGGAGGGGTCTCTTTTCTGCCTTTATAATTCTGCAGAAGTTTCACATTTTCAATTTACTTAAATTTTTTCCTTTGTGTTTTTTTTCTTCCTCCAAAGATAGAAAGGTTACCATCGCCTAAGTCTGGTAATTGTGACTTTGGGCAGTTTTCCTGTTTTCAGAAGTGTAACTGCGCAGCCTGGAGGCTGTTTCTAGGATGGACTGGCTCGGCAGGTCTTGGCCGTCCCGGGGCTGAGCCGGCCAGCGTCCTGTCGTCAGGTCGCCTGGTTCCATGTGTCTGGGCCTCATGGAGGGATTTTTTTTTCGTTTTGCCCTTGCTCTGTGTGGGCCGTCGGCCAGTTAGAACCATGAGCTCTCGCCATCTGGGCATCCGGCTGTCCCCTCTCAGTCCTGTGTGTGTCATGGCACTCTGCATCAGCACTGTGCCCAGAGAAACTGGCTCTCCAGGCCTCTCCAGCCAGCGGGCTTGGCAGGGCAAGTCCAGCCTCAGGCCCTCTGTTGTCTGTCCAAACACCCCACTGGTGAAGACTCTTTCCAGGGTCTTCGCCTCTTGGCCATCCCCGCTGCCCAGTCCCTGGGGCTCTCTGTCCACGCCCACCTTCTCTCTCAGGCTCCTCTTCTGGGATCATTTAGAAGCCTGGACACCCTGACTGCCCCTTCTAGGGTCTGGCCTCCTTGGCTCCAGGACAAACTCCAGCCCCTTAGGCACTACCCGGCCTTCTGCACCAACTTTTTCCACCACTGAAGCATTGGCCCGTGTTCTGGGCTTGCCCTCGGCCCCCTTTCCTCTCCAGGCCCCTCATAGGTTCCCGCGGCCGCCTCTGAGCCCATCGTGGTCAGCGTCAGCCCCACACGTGCATGTTTGTCTCTGAGCCCTTCACACGATTTTTTACCTAACCTTCCACGTTTCCGAGGTCTTAGGCACAGTCTTCACTCCTGTTTTGTAGATGAGAAACGAGTGGGCAGAGTGGAGGCTGCGCAGAGCCCTCCAGCGGGAGGGTGGCGGGGCAGCGCCTCGCTCAAGGCCCCCTCCCCGAGTCTTCCCTTTTCGCCTTGCTCACGCGTAGAGTCAGAGAGCACCCCTGTGTGCCAGCCTGTCCGCAGGCCACCTCCCTCTCCACCGTCTGCCCTCCTGCACCTCCTCAGCCCTCCTCCCTTGGGCCCCCTCTGTCCTTGTCCTCACAGCAGCAGCCACCCTTGCACAGACCTTGGTGGCTGAAGTGTTTAGAACACGTTTTGCTGTAAAGGGCATTGTTGGGACAGCTGGTGAAATTGGAATAAGATCTGCTAAAATAGTGTTGTTTCAGTTCTTTCATGTGTGGTAGTTGTCCTGTGGTCAGGAACCAGAACATCCTTGGTGTTTGTTAATACGCTCTCGGGTGCTTAGGGGTGAACAGGCATCGTCTCTCTACTGGCTCAGAGGAGTGCGTGCCTGTCTCTGTGTGCATGTGTGCAGTGCCTGTGTGTCTCCATGTGCGTATGTGTGCACCCATGCATGCATGTCTTTGTGTGCATGTGCCCACATGCCTGTGAATGTGCGTGCGTGTGTGCACATGTGCCTGCGTGTCTGCGTGCATGCCCATGCGTGTGTGCGCGCATGTGCTTGTATGCCTGCGTGTGAGACAATGACAGGGTAAACATGGCAAAAGTCAGCAGTTGGGGGATCTGGGTGAAGGGTGAACAGGAGTTCTTTGTGTTATTCTTGCAACTGTTTTGCATTTGAAATTATTTCAGAATAAAGCCACTCCCCCGAAAAAGTTACAGTGTTTTCCTGTAAAATACATTGTGGAGTTATATTCTCTGAAAAGGGGAGTCCTCCGTGTCCCTGCCTTTCCCTGATGTTTTCCCCGTGCCCAGTGTGGCGGAGCCCGAGGAGGCCGCAGCCTGGCCTGCAGACACCTGAGTGCCTGGGGCTGCTGCCCTCTTGTGTGCGGGGCGGGCACTGCAGGGAGAAGTTGGTCCGGTCCTGTGTGTGCTGCAGGCTTGTCTCTGCCATGCTCTGAGCTCAGCCCCTCCCTCCTCTGCAGTCTTTGCAGCTCTGCCTGCCCAGATGCCTCGGCCTCAGACCCCGGGCCTCACTGGGTCTTTGCCTGGCCAGTCGCTTCTCTGGACAGGCTGGGAGGCCCTTGGTGCAGGGCATCCCTGGGCTCAGGGCATCAGAGCCTCCCAGTCATGGGACCTGCAGGCCACCGCCCTGACGACCCAGCTCCAGGAGACCGCGTGCCTGCCCTGCTCAGTGTCTCTGGTCTGTGGTTGTGGGAGGCTAGAGAGAAACGGTGTCGGTGCTCCGTTCTCCTCGATCAGCGCTGGACGAGGGGGCCTGTAGTCTGATGAGGAGACAGGGCACCGACGAGGCCGGTTCCCAGGCAAAAGGGACAAAGGCAACACTGGCTTTACAGCAGATGCGGATTTCCTGATACTTCCTCTCACCCAGAAAGGGCCCAGGGCCTCCTTGGCACAGAGCGTGGTGGCGCGAAGCTGCCCAGGGCCACTGATCAGCAGTGTCTTCTCACAGCGCACTTACCGAATGCCAAAGGAGATCCGCGTGGAGCCGCAGAAGTTTGCCGCGGAGCTCATCCACCGCCTGGAGGCCATCCAGCGGACGCGGGAGGCTGAGGAGAAGCTGGAGGAGCGGCTGAAGCGCGTCCGGATGGTGAGTGGGCCCATGTCGGGGTGGCCCCTGGTGGTTTGGCCGCGGCCAGATTGAGTTCGGGGCAGTGTCAGGCCCCAGGAGCTCCCTCCAGGGCCTCCCAGACTAACCTCTCCCTGCTTAGTCATGCTCTGACCCTGTCTCCTGTGACACATGCCCCCTCAAAGCCCCCACTCCTTGTCCCCAGCCTGTGCTGTCTCCCAGGGAGTGTTGTGTAGGCCTGGGGCGTGACCAGCAGTGCCTGGCCCCAGCTCCTGGCCCCGTGCAGCCCTTGGGTGCCAGGATTGGGCTTCCTACTTGCATTTCTGTGGGAAGGCAGTTGACAGGGGGCTGAGATGACGCCCAGCTGTCATCCCTCGGCCCTGCAGAGCACGGGCCGGGACAGGGTCGTGGGATGGGGGCAGAAGCCCAGGGGTACGAGTCTCTGCTGAGGCAGCTCTGAGCTGTGCCCATAAAGGGGCACGTTCACCCCCCATCCGCCAGTCTGTCCTTTCTCTCGCCGTCCGTCTGTCTGTCCGTCTCTTTGATACCGTTTTCCCCCCGAGCACCAATTGCAGTGCCCGCAGCTGGTCACTGTCCTGTGGTGTTCAGGTACTCTGTGTTTGTGAGAACCTCATGGGAAACTTCTGGAGATTTGTTTCTGCTAAAATCTAGGAGTAGCTGGTTCCCCATTCTTTTCAGTTATTACCAAATTTACTCATTATTCTGTTTCGACAATTCAGTAGGATGAGAAAATAAATACGAGATGTATCTTTTGGAGTAAAAGTGATCAAATGTTTAAGGTTACAGATACAGTTGCATAAATTCTTAGAGAATCAAATGAAATTCAGGTAGTTTACTGTGAGAACTTACCAAGAAACACGTAGTGAGATAAGCAAAAAACAAGAGTTCTTCCATACAAGGGACTATTTCCTTTGAAAATATAATGAGAAATAAGGCAATAAAATTGAGGAATAGAAGAAAACAACTGAAGAAAACAAAAATCTTTATTGAGAAACATAAAAGAAGGCTCAGTGGCTGCAGGGGTCTCTGAGCAGCTCCCTGGGGCCCTCCCTGAGCCACTGGTGCGAGCCGCACAGCGGCCACCTGCCCGTCCACTCTCGCTGGGTTCCCCGTCCTCATCCGTCTGTGCCCCGTCCTGCGCGCCGTGCTCGCTCGGGGATCAGCAGGGACAGAAAAGGCCCCAGGGGCCGTGTGGGAGGTGGGTGGCTCCTCAGACCTCTGCTGGCACGGCCTCACCCCGGGCTCCTGACCCCAGGGCACAGAATTTCCCAGCTCCTGGCTCTTCTGGTTCCCCGAGTGTGAAGTCTGCACGGTATGGCTGGTGCCAGGAGGTGACGTGTGGCCTTGTCCCCACAGGAGGAAGAAGGTGAGGACGGCGACGTGTCCTGTGGCCCCCCAGGAGCCAGTCACAAGCTGCCTTCTGCCCCAGCCTGGCACCACTTCCCGCCCCGCTATGCGGACATGGGCTGCACCGGGCTGCGGGATGCGCACGAGGAGAACCCCGAGAGCATCCTGGACGAGCACGTGCAGCGGGTCATGAGGACGCCTGGCTGCCAGTCCCCGGGGCCCGGCCACCGTTCCCCTGACAGCGTACACGTGCCCAAGGTGCCAGGGGTGCTGGGGGGCATAGCTCCCGGGCACGGTAAGCACGCACTCAAGTCGGGGGCGAAGCTGGACGCCGCCGGCCTGCATCTCCACAGGCACAGCCACCACCATGGCCACCACGGCTTGGCCAGGCCCAAAGAGCAGGCCGAGGCCGAGGCTGCCCGCCGGGTCCAGAGCAGCTTCTCGTGGGCCCTGGAGCAGCATGGCCACACGGCCAAACCCCGCAGCCACTCCGAGAGTGTGGGCGCTGCCCATATCACCAGCGACGGCCTGACCTACAGGTGAGCATCCGCAGCGGCCCGAGCTGCGCCTTGAGATCAGGGCTGTGGCTTCTTCATCCTGGGCCCGTGACAGTGGGGCCTGTCTTCCCAGGGGGGAAGGGGCCGCTGCAAGAGGCCGTGTCTCCTGTGTATTTTTTCCTGGTTTCCTAGGCCAGAATTCCCCTTTAAAGGTCATTAAACAAGGTCAGCCATAGAGACTGCGGGCGTGTGGTGGGCAAGAGCTCGGGCGCCAGGCCTGGGCGCTGGGCTGGCTGGGGCTTTGGCCTTGAGATGTGGTTGGATAAAGATGTGCCCGAGTCAGAGGGAGGTGTCTGGTGAGGAGGGGTGGCCAGATCCTGGTGCTGCCGCTGGGCTGGTGATCTGGCCTGGGCAGGGCGAGGACAAGCCCTGCAGCCTGCCCGAGCCCCGGCCCTCCCAGCTGGTGTGGCCGGGGTGCCCCCTTCCCTTCCTGCCCTGGGGATGGCCTGAAACAGCCCAGACAACCCTGCAGAACGGGCAGAGGCCACTGGCATGTCCCGCTCCGTCAGGGCCCCCGTGTTCAGGGAGCAGGGGCCCTTCCAGGCCCTTTTCCTGCCAGCTTTCGGGGTGCAGAGCGCCAGCGGCCAGCTGTCCAGTGACGGGCCGGGTGAAGTCAGCCGGTGACGCCCAGGTCTTACTCTTACAGCGGGAAGGCGGGCACCACCTGCAAAAGAAACACCAAGAAGGCCGAGTCAGGGAAGAGCATGGGGGCCGAGGCACCAGGCCCCTCAGAGGACGCGGAGAAGAACCAGAAGATCATGCAGTGGATCATCGAGGGGGAGAAGGAGATCAGCAGGCACAGGAAGGCGGGCCACGGGTGAGTCCTGGGGCGTGGGTGCAGGCGTGCGCAGATGACTTGCCAGCCCCTGGAACTGCTTGGCCAGTGTCTGCGCAGCTGTGTTGTGGCCCCACCCGCCGTCTTACTGCAGACCACCCACGGTTTAGGCGTGAATTCCACAGCGGCAGCTCCCATCCATCGCTGCCTGAGCTCGCTAACGCCACCCCTGTGTGGGCCTGTGATGGGCCTTCAGTGTCCTGGGCCTGCTTGTGAGGCCAGCGCGGGGTCACTGCACCCCTGTCCGCGAGCTCCTCTCCCTGCAGCCCCACTTGCTGAGGAGGGCGCTGCTGTCACACGGCTGCTCTTGGGACTATTTCTGGAATGTGATGCTGCCATGTGACAATGACCCGAGTCGCTGGGGAAGTTAGGCAGGCGCCCGATTGTCACTGCAGACAGAGCCCGCAGGAAGAGGCTGTTTGCACGTGGCCGTCCCCCGGGGTCGGTGGGGAAGGTTCTCACTTAGTCCTCATCCCTCCGACCTCGACGTCAACCCCACGGGGCCAGAGGCTGCTCTGGGGGGTGTGGAGCTGGGCCCCGGAAATACCCTTGCCACCCCACACGGGCGGGTCCATCTGGGCCTGGCTCAGACAGGGCAGGTCACACCTGAGCAGGTGGCAGGGCTGGAGCAGGTGGGATCTGCCCATCAGTGTGCAGGCTGGCCCTCCTTCCTTGGTCTCAGACTTCCCCGACCTCGGCCTGCCTTGGCTGCAATGAGGAGGGCTGCGTGTGCGTGTGCGAAGGAGATGACACCTGCCTCGCCGTCCTGAGTGGCGACTCGGGGTCCCTGAGTCCTGTGTCCACGTGGTCTTAGGAATGAGCCCCCCGCCGGTGTCCAGACCCCTTTGCAATCACAAAGCTTGTCCTCTCTATTGGGATGGGGTGGATTCTCGGCTTCTCTAGATTTCTCTCTTTTGTGGGTTTTCACAAGGAATGAGTCTGTCCTGCCCACCCCCAACCCCAAATGAAGGGTTTGTGGTTGACAAGTAAGAGGCGTGTCTGGAAACAGCCTCCTGGGGGGAGGGGGAGGGTGCTCCTGCCGTTGGGATAGGCTGTTTTAAATGCTGGCACCTTGGTGTCCCCACCAGGCCCTCGGTGACCTCCCCGGAGCCCCGGGCCATGGGGCCTTGGCCCTTGTTGTTCTTACCTAAGGCAGGTGGGCTGGGCCGGGGAGGTGGGCCCCGGCTGATGTCTCTCTGTGGCCACCTAGTGGGAGGACCCCACCTCCCCCAGGTCCTTCCCTTGGGCAGTTCTGCGTCACGAGGGCGCTGGCCCGACCCACTGCCCAGGTGCTCTTGTTGGGGACCCTCATCTGCTCCTGGTGCCGAGCCCCCTGCCTGATCCCTCTGCCACAGTGCAGTGAGGTGGCTGTTTTCACACGACCTCGTCTGCTGGTCGTGGCGGCACGTGCATGGGTGTGAACGCGCCCTCTGTGTCCGATAATGGGGGAAAGGCATTTATCATGTTGAGGGAAAATTATACGTTTAGAATTACGCCAATGACGGTAAATGTTTCTGTGGGGGAAGGAAATAACCAGTATACTGAGAGTGATTGTTTCTAAGCTGTGAAATTATGGATTATTTATCTTTTTTCTGTAAGTTTCCTGTGTGTTTCAGGTTTTTCACAAAGAGCATCTATTTTAACATTAAAATATTTTTTAAAAAGCACTGAAAACTTTTTCTTAAAAAAGGTCTTTATTTAGGATATGATTTATATTTCAGTAAACCTGTTAAAAATAAGTTACAGAGAAAAAAGTGTGAGAAAGGGATGTTTGTTTATGTGGCACAGGAGGAAATGCAGAGGTTCACGTGGCCTTCGGTGGCCAGGGGCACAAGGGCACTGCTGCCCAGCGCCTGGGGGTCAGGGCCACACCACCTCTGCCGGCCCTGCCCCCCCTCCCGGCACTGCCCAGGGCCCAGGATTGCCAATGGTGCCACAGCTGGTGCTCTTACTCCCGCAGATCTTCCGGGACAAAGAAGCAGCAGGGGCATGAGAGCTCCAGGCCCCTGTCCATCGAGCGTCCGGGGGCCGTGCACCCCTGGGTCAGCGCTCAGCTCCGGAACTCCGTCCAGCCCTCTCATCTCTTCATTCAAGACCCTACCATGCCGCCCAACCCAGCCCCCAACCCTCTGACCCAGCTGGAGGAGGCCCGCAGGCGCCTGGAGGAGGAAGAGAAGAGAGCCAGCAAGCTCCCCTCGAAGCAGAGGTACGGGGCAGGGGGAGGAGGAGAGAGCCGGCAAGCTCCCCTCGAAGCAGAGGTACGGGGCAGGGGGAGGAGGAGAGAGCCGGCAAGCTCCCCTCGAAGCAGAGGTATGGGGCAGGGGGAGGAGGAGAGAGCCGGCAAGCGGGGACAGGTGGGCCATGCTGGGCACCCACCCCCTGGCAGTACTGGCTTCTTCCTTTTGTCGAGGGCCACCTAGGGCGTGACAGGTGGCCCTGTTGTGTGATCAGGGCTGGGAGGGCAGCTGGTCACCACTCTGTCCTGGGGAAGGACAGGGCCCCTCCCTCTGACCGTGCCCGCTCTGCTCTGAGTGTGTACTCACCCCGGGGCCCGTCGCGATGTAGAAGTGCGGGAGGTCACACAGTCGGTTGCACTGGCTGCTGTGCAGGCTGAGCTCAGGGCGGGGATCCGGCCGCCTCCCTGCACAGCCACCCTTCGAGGAGCCCCGAGCGTGTCATTGGCTGGGTGGAGGTAGACGGTGCTGAGATTCGTGTAGACTCTTCTCTGGGGCCCCGGGCCCACAGCCGCTCTTCATTCGCTCTCCTGGGCCTTGAGGGCTAGAACGTCAACCCGCTGTCGCCGTGGCTGCACACCAGGCCCCGTTCTCTTCTCCAGGGAGTGGGGAGCCCTCCCCTTTGTGGTGGCAGCTTCTCTCAAGGCCGGAATGTGGCTGTCCCAGGTCTTCCAGGGCCTTGAGGTCAATTTCCCCGGACGTACTGGTTCCTTCAAATTCCCAGGTGGATCAGGGTCTCTGTGAGGGGCCTGAAAGCTGTATTTCTCCCCCAGAGCTGGGGATCCTGGTTCCACAATGGCCACGGTTTGCCTCCGCTGTTACTGGCTCCCTTGCCCAGTTTTCAGTCAGCTGGGCATCTGGGGTTCGACTCCCCTTACTGTTGGCCTCACTGTGTGTGGGGCGGCCCTGCTCTGGGGGATCCGGGGTCAGGGTGCAGACCGTCCCCTGTGTCCATCTCGTCGGCGCAGCCGGAAGCCAGAATGTGTCCCCCGGGTCATCGAGGCGACCACATTTGCGGCCAGCTGTGTCACGCCACGATCCTGGTCAGTCAGCAGAGTCGTCTCTGGGCAGTAGATCTTGCCTCATACTGGGGGACGCGCTCCCGTCTGTCAGGCCTGTGACCCGGAGGCAGCCGGGGCAGCGAGAGGCCGCCTCCTGCTGCGCAGACCACCTGCTGGGCTTCCTGGGGTCGTCGCCGCCCAACTCGGGGGCAGGGCTTGCGTCTTCTTTTCTGCAGGTTAGCAGGGTGGCGTCTTTCTCGCCGGTGACACGAGTGGAGCCACACGGCCTCTGTGCTGCGTGTTCGGGGTGCGAGCCTCCTGCTGGGGTCTCAGCTGGTGGCTGTGGTGTCTCCGCGTGTTGTCAGTCGGGGCTCATGGCCTTTTGTGAATGGCTGCAGACCGAGCAGAGGTCTGGAGGCCCAGTAGGGGTGCGGGCCCTCCCTGAGCCCCTCATGGGTGACCCCTGCCAGGCCGGCCAAAGTAGAGGTCATCATCAGGGCCACACAGAATCATGCCTGGAGGTGGACAGCCTTGGAGAGCAGTTGCTGGGCAGCGAGCCCCAGGACAGGCCTCCCCAGCTGCTTCGGATGTGGCAGTGGTCAGGCTCCAGCACCCGAATCCACGTCGGAGCGCTGAGCGGGCAGAGCCGCACCCACAGAGAGGAGGCGAGGGGCAGACTCTCTCTGGAAGCTCTTCTCAGGGTGGACGAAGTGACGAGATCCCCATGCCGCAGATCAGCGCTTCCCCAAAGTTCTTCCTGGGAACCCAAGGGCTCTGTGACCAGATGAGGACTCTGGGAACTCCGGATCCGCTAAAGCCACAGCCGTTCTGACTGGTCCTGACAGAGCCCTTGGTGCTCGAGTCAGCCCTGTGCTCCGCGCTCCGAGGAGGGTTGGTGTGCCGTCTGTCCCACACCGTGGGAGCCTCGTTTGTGGTGATGGAGCCTCTTGGGGAGCCCCTGCTCCGTCTGCCTGCCTGTCACCCGCTGTCACGCGGAGCGCTGGTGGAGCCCGCTGGGCGTGCGCTCACTGACGCGGTTGTTCCCTAGGTATGTGCAGGAGGTCATCCAGCGGGGGCGCTCCTGCGCCAGGCCAGCGTGCACGCCCGTGCTGAGCGTGGTGCCAGCGGTGTCCGACCTGGAGCTCTCCGAGACAGAGTACGTGCCCCCGGGGATCTTCCCGGGACCGCCCGCCCACCCGTGTCGCGGGCCAGGTCCTGCGTGGAGCACTGTTCCCAGGATGGGAGCTTGGGCAGCACACTGGAAGAGCCAGGCCTGCAAGCCGTTCCTTTCCGTCTCCGTCTCAGGAGGCGCTGACCTCCACGTGGTGACAGATGACCCACAGGCCACAGAGGCAGTCACTCTGCCTCCTTTGCTCTGACCACGCGACCCTGCCCGCCTTGAGTTTCCTGAGCTTCCCAGCCAGGCCTCGGGCCTCGCTGAGCTGAGACTGGCTCACTGACAGGGTTGGGGTTGCAGCCGCAGTCCCCCTGGCGTGCTGGAGGCGTCAGCTCCGTTGGTGCGCGTGCCAGTGCTTGTGTGGGTGACACGGGGATCAGAGCTCTGTGTTCCACTCCCCAGGCTCACCAGGAGCAGGGTGGGTGTTGGGGACCCGTCAGCCTTGTGTAGGCAGTGCTGGCCGCCCCATCCCTCTACTTTTGCTCCAGACAGAGCAGAAGGGGCCCTTCAGCCTGCGTAGTCACCCCAGACAGCACTTAGCACGTCTGGCTGGTGCGTCACATGGGGACGAGTGGCGCTAGGAGACGGGGTGCTGCCTGTCATCCCAGATGCAGCGTGGCTGCCCGGCACCCCTCAGGATAAGGGTCCCACCCAGCTGGACAGGAGAGGGTGTGGCCTCACAACCCACTCCAGAAGCCTGGCCGACCGCTGCCCCTGGTCTTGGACAAGCTCTCTTGTGGAGAGGTCCATGTCAAGACCCGTCTTGGTTCTCTGTCCATACTGGCCTTCAGGTGTTTCTGAAGCTTTGGGGTCTGAGGCCTTGCTAGGATGCACGCAGGGTGGCCCCGACGGAAGTGGGCTGTGTTGGTCCGGTGGCCTGGCAGCTTAAGAAGCCCAGTGGAGGGACCCACCGTGGGCTCCGGCCCCGGGAAGCCTGCTCGCCCATTTGTGTGTGGTCGGGGTTGGGGTGCCGCCCACCAGCCAGCTCAGGCCATGGAGCCCTGGGGCCTCACCACACGTGAAGGAGGGTGGGGGGCGAGCTGAGGCAGTGGCTGGGCACGGGGCAGGCAGGCAATGAACTGATATCTGTGCTGTTTCTGTGTAGAGCAGGCTGGTGCGGGGCTGGGCCCTGGGTTGAGATGTTGCGAGGGGTGAGGCCCCCAGGGGGCTGGATGCGGCTGTGTGACTGGGCCGGGCATCGGGCCCATGCTGATGTGGTTGTCTGAACGTGGCACGGCTTGCTCCTGCAGCCCTGCCTCCTCAGTCACTGGGGAGTCCAAGGCCCACCAGGGGTGCCCCGTGGGACCCTGAGACCTTGCCATCACAGCTGCATCTCTGCTCCCAGGATGAAGTCGCAGAGGAAGGTGGGCAGTAGCAGCACCCAGCCGTGTGACAGCATCGTTGTGGCCTACTACTTCTGTGGGGAGCCCATCCCCTACCGGACCCTGGTGAGAGGCCGCGCCGTCACCCTGGGCCAGTTCAAGGAGCTGCTGACCAAGAAGGGCAACTACAGGTAAGACCGGGGCTGGGTGGGGCTGCCCGTTGGGTGGGGTCTCTGATGAGCAGGCGCCCACCCAGGAGATGGTGCCATGTGCTGGGTGCCTTGTCCACACCTCTGTCTGTGTCTCGTTCAGCCCTGGTCTCCACCATAACCCGCCCATCCCACCCGGCTGCTGACGTGGCCCCTCCTGGGTAAGCTGCAGGTGGCCTCGGGCTGCGGGCTGACTCCGGCCCCATTTGACTGAGGCCTCCAGGCTGACTGAGGGGTCTGGAGAGTCTGGAGGGACCCGGTTCAGGGCCCTTTCCCCGAAGGTAGGAATAGATGCCTGAACACAGCAGTCTGTCGGTCCCCGTGCTGGTCTGACCTGGGTTGGCCCTGTTTTCCGCTTCCTGATTCGGCCCGTTTTTACTGGTCTGGGAAGCCATGGCCCCCTCTCCAGGGTCCATGCTGTGCTGCTCGGCCCTATGGCCTGAGACCAGCCCTGAGAGGCTCCTGAGTGAGCACTGTAGGAGGAGCAGGGGCAGACGGGGTCTCAGCCGGGGTCTGCCCGTTGGGCATGGGTAGGTGGTTGCCTCTGTCCACCGGGTGGCCGAGAAAGCACCCCTTGGAGATCCTGGCCACTGGGGGAGGGCCCAGTTCCACTGGCTTCCACTTGGGCCTGAGTTGGGGGAACATTACCCCAATGGAGACAATAAGCTCAGCTCTTGGGGAGCAGAAACCCTGTGCCCATCCACTCCTCCCCCATGGCACCCTCGAGTCCAGAGTGGGGACCCCCGCCTGTGGTCACTGTCGGCCCACGGGCAGGCAGGCCCTAGGCAGAACCAGCTCTGTGCCCTGCAGGAGACCCCTGGAGCACGGCCACCAAGCTGCTGTGCGCACGCGGATGATGGGCCGGGGCTGGGGGGGCGGCCCAGGGCGGGGTGCGGGCAGACCCTCATGCCCCGACGCCTCCCTCGCCCCGATGCAGATACTACTTCAAGAAAGTGAGCGATGAGTTCGACTGTGGGGTGGTGTTTGAGGAGGTTCGCGAGGATGAGGCCGTCCTGCCCGTCTTCGAGGAGAAGATCATCGGCAAGGTGGAGAAGGTGGACTGACCGCAGCCTGGCCTCTGCGCCCGGCTGGGCCCTGTCAGGTGGGCGGGGCAGCCACGCTGAGCCACGAAGGGTGCGCATGTCATGTGCTGTCATGTGTGTGCCTGACACACGGCTGCTGGGGAGGCCAGCTGCTGCCCGCCCCCCGCCACCCACCCCTTGGTCCATCTGTCCAGGTGGTGGTCCCTCCGAGTGGTCCCACAGGCTTCCATCCCGCTGCCGACGAGGAGGGAGCCCGTCTGCCCTCCACAGCAATACTCGGAGGGGCCGCCCCAATGACCCACCCCAGCGGCCCTGCTGCTGACCACAGGCTGGCCCACTGGCGCCTCGCCGGGTCACCCCACCACGGGCTCTGCTTCTGCCTCTGGGACTCACCACCACGCCCTGCCCTGGTCGGGACCCGCGAGGCCTCTGTAAACTGTACATGTCACCGAGTGCCTTCAACGCAGCTTGTCTCTTGCCCGCCACTATGGACCTGGCAGCGGAGCGCCACGGTGCCCTCCCTTCTCCGCCCTCAGGTCCCCAAGCGCCGGCTGTGCGGGACCTAGGTCCCCCTTCCCAAGGGCCCGTGTAAATATGTACATTTCTCAGGCCAGGGCCAGCGGGGGGCTGCCCCGGGCCCGTTTTTCATGCGCTGACTTGTACAATTATCTTTTCAAAGGTACTTGGATAAGAATGAAATAAAACCATTTTTGAACCTTCTCTGCCTGTGGAGGGCACCTGTGTTCAGTGGGTCTGACTGGCAGGCCTGTCATCCTCGACCAGCTCCTGGGGCATGCAGCCTGTCCCCTCTAGCCTGGCCTGGCCATGTGAGCCCTTGTCAGCCCCTGGCGGCGAAGGCGGTCACACCAGCCTCCGAGGGACATGGGGTGGGGTGTCTTGTGCAGCCACGCTCTAGGGCTCCGGAGAGGGTGGGGCTGAAGCCGGCAGCCACGCCAGGTCCCCCTTCCTGTCCAGGTGGGGCCCCAGGCCCAGACCTGAGCCAGGCATCCACCCAGGTGAGCTGGGCGCCCAGGCTGGGTCCATCCAGGATGGAATAGGCCCCAGGAGGCTGAGATTTGGCCAAAGCCAAGGGCCAAGGGGAGCCGTGCTCAGGAACCACGCACATAGTCCAGGACCAAAGTTCTTTATTCATGGCCCACCGCTTCCTTGGGTGCCGGAGCAGACGGTTCCCCCGCGGTGACCTGGGCGGCTACAGCTCCTCCTTGGGCCCTGTGGTGGAATTGGCTGGCGTCTCCTGGAAAGTCACCGAGGCCCAGCTGGAAGCTGCACCCTCTGCCACCCCTGCCCCCGTCAGCCCCACAGCCATGCATCCAGAGGACTTGTCTACAAGCCAGGAAGCGTGGGACAGAGGCACCCACCGGGAAGGGGGCTACGGGCTCCTCGGTGGGCTCCTCTGCAGGCAGCTGGCCCCCGCTGTCCAGGAACTTGGAGAAGGTCTCCAGGTCCCTGGTGCTTTTGTAGTCAATCACCTGAGGGGAGACAGGAGGATCTGGAGGACACACCCACCCTGTCCCACACCCGGGGCACCCTCCCAGGCAGCGCCCTCCAAGGCTGCACCCCATCTCCCGGGCACAGGACAGCCCGAGGAACTCCCAGACCAAACCTCAGACCAAGGGAGACAGGGTCCCGCCTCACCTTCCGCCCGGGCCCTGCGGGGAAGTACTTGAGGGTGGGGAAGCTGTGCACTGCGAAGGCCTCCAGCTCGTTGGCTGTGGCGTCCAGCTCGGCAATGACGATGTCCTCATGATCCTTGTACTTCTCAGCCAGTGCCTCCCACACGGGGGCCATCTCCTTGCAGTGGGGGCACCAGGGGGCATCTAGGACAGGGCGTGTCAGCAAGGCCAGCAGGGGCCCCCCCCCGCCCGCCCACTACCTTCTGCACTCACAGAACTTGATAAACACGTTCTTGGTTTCGTCAAAAGCCACCTGCTCGAAATTCTTGCCTACGAGGGTCTTGAGCGGCTGCTGGTCCCAGTCGGGGGGCACCTCCTGGCTCAGGTGGTAGGGCTGTGGGGAACCGGGCCCAGTGCTTCGTTGGGGATCTCTCTCAATTGCTGTTGCTCCCGCCCCCGTCCCTGGCTGGGCAGCCCAGCAGCAGACCTTGACCTGGCCGCTGAGGACTGCATGGCAGAAGGCCGTGATGGTGGCTGCGGTGACCAGCTCCCCGGCCGCAGGCGCGTACTTCTTGGTGGTGTCCATGTCGATGAAGCGCAGGGTGGGGGCCTCCTCGGCCCCGACACCGAAGTACCGCAGCACGTGGTCGTTGTCGGCACCCACGTCCACCACCACAAACAGCACCTGCCACAGGGAGACCGCGCTGGGCACCCCGCCTCCCTGCTGCCCCGCCCTCCCGCCCCCCCCCCAGTCCCTGCCCCCGGAATGGGGGAGCCGCCTCCCCAAAGCCCGCCAGCAGCTCCTGGTGCGGGGCCAGCGTCTGGTTGATGAACAGCAGCAGGTGGTTGGGAATCTTGGCCGCAAATATCTTAGGGGATGTCTGCAGGGGCAGGCCAGACTCATGGGGACCGGCTCGGGGGCACCCTCCCACTCCCCCACCCCCGCCCCTGCACCTGCAGCCCGACGCACCTGGCTGTTGAACTCCGTGACCAGGTGCATGCTGTGTGTGAGGAGGAAGCGTGACAGATCTCCCTGGTCCAGGCCCAGCTCCTCGTCCACAGGGAAGTCTGCTCGCCCCTCATCAAACTGGACAACACCGGGTGGGTCAGCAGGAGCCATAGCGCCAACCCTGAGCCCTGCCTCGGCCCTGACCCACCTTCTTAAAGAGGACCACGGTGTCCTTGGTGAGGCCAAACTTCTGGAAGAGCTCTGGCTGGTCAGTGAGGCCAAAGGTCATATCCAGGGCATCCTGGGCCAGGGCCAGGAATGCAGCCGCGTCCTCGTCCTGCAGGTCCTGAGAAGCCCAAGCCTGTGAGGCCAGCTGGCGCCACAGGCCCTGCTCCCACGGCCTGGCCCCTGCCCCGTGCCACCAGCTCACCCGGAAGAAGCCGATGACCACTACGTCCTGGGCATCTATCAGTGCTCGGGCGCCTTCCTCGTTCTCCAGCCGTGTGGCGCTGGACCCCACCCGCCGCCTCAGCCACTCAGCGATGCCTTCGGCCTCCCGGGGGCCTGTGGAGAGCCCCCTCAGCATGGGTCCAGCTGCTGCCCCCGCCCCCCACATGCCCACGCCCCGCACCAGTGTACTCCTCCGGGTGCAGGCGGTCCCCGTCACGGAAGAACTTGAGCGTGGGGTACTCGGTCACAGAAAACTCCTCCGTCAGCTCCGGCTCCGCGTGCCCGTCCACCTTGGCCAGCCTGGCTGTGGCCAACTCTGCTGCCAGCAGGGCAGCCGCCTTGCTGTACTCGGGGGCCAGCACCTTGCAGGGCCCACACCATGGGGCGTCTGGTGGACAAGGCCATGAGTGCCCTGGCCTCCGCGGCCCCAGCCACAGCTCCCGCTCCCGCCTGGCCGGAACCGGCAGACCTTGGGGTCAGTCAGGTCTGGAGGGAACAAGCACGACCCGTCCATGCCTTCCTCCTTCAGGGATCCTCCTAAGCCCCAGCCACACTGAGCCCAGCAGCACAGGGCAGCTCCTCAAGGCCCCCAGCTCGGGTGCAGTGGCCAGCAGCCCCCGACAGCGAGTGTCAGGAGGACCCACATGATGCAGCTCCCTGAGGCCAGCTCCTCGGCCACAGGCTGCCCACTGGGGCCTGCTGGCCAGGAATGGCTTTCACACATGTAAAGAGCCACAGAAGGCGCAAGGCCTGAGTGCAGCCTGGGCCTTTACAGAAAGAGTTTGCGAAGGACAAGGACCTTGGTCTCCCCTGCAGCTGTGCCCCTACCTGCTCAGGACCCCCAGGCCCAGCTCAGTCCCACGGCTCTGCCTCAGGTGCCCTCCGACGGATCCCCAGGAGCACAAGGGGGGCCGAGTGACCTCAGAGGAAGCCCCCATGTGCATGGAGTGGGGGATTGAATCCCCAGCCCCGCTGGCCCCGAGCACTCACAGAACTCCACCAGCAAGGCAGGGTGCTCCTGGAGAGCTCGGGCCAGGGTGCGCCGGCTCAGCACCAAGATCCCATTCTCCTCCTCGGTGACCTCCTCCTCGGGGAACTCCTCCTTGAGGAGCTCCTCCGAGGGACCCTCGGGCCCTGGCCCCTGTCCCCATGGGCCTGAGGCCCCAAGCAGCAAAAGCAGCAGCACAAGCAGCAGCTGGCCGTCCATGGCAGTGCCGGGCCCACAGGGCAGGGGCAGATAAGGGGGCCGGGGGCCAAGCTGCAGCCGCCACGTGGCACCCAGGCCCAGTCGCACGGAAGATAAGGCCCCAAGGCTCCCCCCACCCCGAGGGAGGGGAGGCAGACAGAGGCGACACCGAGGGCACAGAGACAGGGCCACGTTTAATAGGGCTGTTCAGGGCACAGTGCCAGGCCCAGGGAGGAGGGGTCCCAGGACAGGGCAGAGGGCATGGAGGGTCTGGTCACTGACAGAGGGGGTGGGGGAGTGCATGGGGGTCCCTGTGCAGTGACAGACAGGCGGGGGAGACAAGGACCCCGAGTGGGAAGACAGCCCCAGGCAGGGGTGGTGCTCAGCTCTCCCAGTCTCGGCAGATTTGGAGGCCCCACTGCCAGGACAGGTGGTCCGTCCTGTCGTCATCGGTGAAGAAGGATGTGACCACGTAGGCACCCCGCACCAGCGCGCCCCGCGGCGCCTCCTCCACCGGAGTTACGAACTCATACTCCTGGGCGCTCGGGCCGTAACTGCCCACCATGTACACGGCCTTGTCCACTGGGGGAGGGCCGGGGCATCAGGGACCGCCCTCTGCCCACCCACCACGCCCCGCAGTCCCCCAGCCGCCCTGTCATGCCGCCCTCACCACGCAGGCCCTGGCGGTAGGTGTGATGCAGACATCTCAGGCCACTGACGATCTCCTTATTGACCTGAGGGACAGAGGGTGTAAGGGTCCCCGGGGGCTGGGCCTGAGGTCGGCTGGCGCCCCGGGGACAGCAGCCTCACCTTGAAGGTGATCTTCACTCTGTAATCCACACCCTCCTTCAGGATGAACACCTGGTTTTTCAGCGCAGCCAGCTCCCCTGCAGGGAAAGTGCGCCTAAGGCGTGACCTCCAGCCACGGCCGAGACCCAGGAGCCCCGTGGTGGGTGGCACTTGTGAGGTCTACAGTGACGGGAGATGGGGCACAGGGGTCTTAAGAATCCATGGCAAGGAGCCCAGGTCTCTATCCCAAAGGTCAGTTTGTAGTCTGCAGCAGGGAGTTCCCTGTGAGGTCCCTGGCCGCGGCTCAGGGTTGCACCTGGCATCCTGAGAGTTACCTGTGAGGTCCATAGTGATGGGCCCTGGAGCCTGCTCGGACATCAGTGTCAGCCTGGTCACCTGCACGTTGGGCAGGCTTGGGTCTGAGGAGAAACCAGGAGTATCTACAGGATGCCCCCCCCCACCCGGGGGCCCCCGCATACCCACCACGGGAGGCAGGGGCCCCCCACCCCACCCTCAACGCCCCCCCACCCTGGGGCCCCCGCATACCCACCACGGGAGGCAGGGGCCCCCCACCCCGCCCTCAAACCCCCCCCGCCCGGGGTCCCCACATACCCGCCACGGGAGGCAGGGGCCCCAGCAGCGCCTGCTTGTACTTGGCCAGGCTCTGGTCATCTGGGTCCAGCTGCTGGATCTCCAGGAGGCTCTTCCTCCCCGGGGCCCGGTACTCCGGCACGGCCTCGTCGAGCGCCTCGTCTGGTGGCAGCTGCCCCCCCTCCTTGTCGGTCAGGAGGACTGGGGTCCGAGAGGTGCGTGAGCAGCTGTGCCAGCTGCCCCTGGCATTTGCCGGCCCAACTGGAGCCCCCCATGTGGCCAGCTGTACCTCTCACTGCCCAAAGGAACTTAGGAGGAAGCCGGTGGGAGCTCTGAGAGGGAGGGGTGCACGGGGGCTCGGGGAGAGGGGTAGGCCAGGGAGATGCAGAGCAGCACCCACGCCCAAGTGCTTCAGGAGGGCGCTGGTGGCTGGAGAAGGCTCCCAAGAGACAAGAGCCAAGCGCAGCCCTGGAGGCACTGGCTGCCTTCTCCTGGCCCAGCCAGCCAGCCAGGGCTCCTCCCTGACTCCGAGGCCAAAGGTGAGGGGAAAGGAGACCCCAAATCGGGGACAGCCCCGAGGACTGGGCCACCCCTGTAGAGGGAGACTCCCAGGCCTCCCCTGAGCAGAGGCTTAGCCCCCCAGGCTCCCTAGGGTCTCCCAGTGCTCCCTGGCCGCTTCCCATATCCCACAATGCTCTTGGACGCCTCTGGGTCCCCATATCCTGCTCTGGGAATGCGTCTCTGTACACCTGCCCACAGTCCTACGGGTTCCTCCCCAGAATACTCCTGGGGGGGGTTCTCTCTGAAACCCTGGCTGATGCTCTGGGGCCCCCTCCCTGGTGCCTCCAGGGCCAGTCTCCTAGAGCCCCTTCCCAGGGTGCCTTGGGGTAGGGGTCTTTCTAGGCCCCCTCCCATAGTGTCGTGGGACAGTCTTTCTGAGTCTCTGGCCACTGTGCCCCAATTTTCTCAGGGGTCACCATACGCCCTGAAGGGGCCGGAGCCCCACCCAAGGGAGAGGGTATCTCAAGGCAGGTTCTCCAGGGTAGGGGGTTCCCCTGCCGCCCTGGCCTCCCAAACAGACCCGCCCACTCCTGGCTCCTTTCCCGTGAGTGTCTAGCTGGACGAAGCCCCCACCCCTACCAGAGCCCAGCCCGGGGACCGCCCACGAGGTCCCCACGCGCGCCCCCAAAGTTTCCGCGGGGGAGGGGCCCGCCCCCCCCCCGCCCGGCCCGAACCCCCTCCCCTCCCGCCGAGCCCCCCGCCCACGTGGCCGCCCGGGGCCCGCCGGCCGCTCACCTCGGGCGCACAGCGCCAGCCGGAGCAGCTCCAGCAGCTGCGACCCCAGCTCGCACGCGTCCAGGCCCAGCATGGTGGCCGCGGCCCGGGCGCCGCGGAGCCGCCGAGAGCCGCCGCCGCCCCGCCGCCGCCCGGCTCGGCGCTCAGCCCCGGCGCGACTGCGGTGAGCTCATCCCGGCCGGGAGCGCCCCCCGCGCCCAGCGCCGCGCCCGCGCCGCGCGCCCCCAGCCGCTCCGCGGACCCCGCGCAGCCCGCAGAGACGCGCGTGTCGCCCGCACGGCGCCGGCACCGGTCGTCCCCGCCGCGGGCGCACCCGGACCCCGCACGGCCGCCGCGGACACGGACGCACACGGCCGCGTCACGGTCCCAGCCGCCGCCCGGCCCGCACCCCGCTCTGGCCACTGGGGCCGCCCCACCCAACGGCGCCGCGGGCGTCTGGGGAGTCTCCGGGGAAGCCCCCTGGGCGGGGCGGGTGGGGCTGGGGGCGCCGAGCGGAGCAGGTGCGTGTGTGTCCCCCCTCCCGCGTGTCCCCAGGCCCTCATTACCTGCAGGCAGTGCAGGCTGCACCTGGAGCCCAACAGTCCCCCACCCTCCCCCACCCCGCTCCCGCTGGAGCTCCTGTCTGGGCAGAGGGGACTCCTGGAGTCCGTCCAGCCTTGCGGAGCAGGGGGCTGTGTGTGTCTGCACAGCCTCCTGGCCCCGCACCCCAGAGGTTCGCAGTGTCCACACACAGGGATCCCGGGTCCCACGCACACGGTGAGGTGCAATCAGGAGACACACAGCCATCACTCAAGTGTTTATTGACTGAGCTGTGTCAGTATGGCAGGGTGGGGTCTCTGTTGGCTGTGGGGACCTGGACGATTCCAATGGCCCGTCCTTGGGGAGAAACAGACACTGATCCAAAACAGAACCCCCTGGGTGCAGTGCTGAGAAGGGAGCTTGGAGGGCTGGTCTTGATACCTAAACAAACGTGGGGTGAGTAGCCAGGGGTCAGCCCGCACAGAGAACAAGGGTGAGCTGGACCTTGGGCTGAGGACAGCCGGAGTGAAGGCCGAGGTCTGAGCTGGGGAGGAGGCAGAATGCCAGCCTGAGTCCTTCCACCCCATCCACCCCCACCTTCATTTCTGAGGACGTCCAAGGGATCAGACCCACCCTTTCCCAAAGGTGCCCCTGAGCAGGAGGCCAGCAGGCCATGGGTGCCAGAGAGCTGCCCCCCTTGCGGCCCCACCCGCCCACAATCTTTCAAGGCAGGATCCCCCCAGCTGGGGCCCAGGCCCTTCTAGGGCCCCGTCCCTGCTGCCCCTTCCCTGGGACGATGGGTGTCAGTCAAGGAAGCCAGTTGTCCCCAGGCTGGGGACAGCTCCGGCCTCTGGTGGTCTCCAGCCTCTGTGGATGCCCCCCGTCCAGAGGACAGCCAGGCCTGGGGCCAGCCTGACCCGCCTGTGTGGGGGGAGGACTTCACTGGGGGACAGTGCCCTGGCAGAGGTAGGGGCCCCCCAGTGCCCCGGCCGGGACTCCTGCGGGACCTGGCCTTGTGGGCAGTGGAAATAGATTCAGACAGCTATGTCTGAGGCTGCTGGCCAAAGGAAAAACCCCCATCCTGCCCCGCCCCCAGCTCCCCCTGAGTGGGGAGGGGAGGGGAGGGACTCTATCCCTGAAAAGCAGAAATAGACCTGTTTGCACCTCTTAAAAATGTCCCCAGCAAAGGCGGGGGTGGGGGCGAAGCTGTTGGAGGAGAGAAAAAGGGCCAAGATTGAGCCCCCAGCCCTGGGGCGAACCTTGGGGGTGTGGGTGCTTGTTGAGATCCTGCCTCCTCAGTGAAGCCCCTCTCCCACCGTCTAGGGGTATCCTGGATGTGGTCTCTGTCTGCTCCTCCACTGGCCCCACCCAGGCCTCCTGCAGCTGAGGGGAACTGAGCCCGCTGCCACCTTCCCCCAAGCCTCCAAGGGCCCCCATGCAGCACACCTATGCAGCCACAGCGTCACAGCAACCTGGTGGCACACACACAGTCATGTATGGGATCAAACAATTGCAGGGACACACTCCTAGGGCAGTCAGACCCCTCATGTGACCCCACAGCCCCCTCCACTGCTGGTCCCCACATCCTGAGGGTGCTAGGGTGCTGCACGTAGGGTGGGTATGCGGGGCGGGGGGGACAGCAGACCCGAAACCTTTGTCCCCCACCGCAGCCCACCTTCGCCCCGGGGCCCCTCTCCTGGAGACCCTCCCCGCACGGAGCGCCCTCCCTCTCCCGGAGCCCCCTCCTCTCCCAGGTGGGCCCCGATTCCCTCACAAGCCCCCTCACAAGGTCCCCAGCGAGTCCCTGGGGCAGGGTCTGAGGTTCTCGTGTCGTGGGGGAGACTCCTCGGGCGCCGGCCGGTTCCGCACCCGGAGTGGGCGCTGGGCCGACCCAGGCCGCGCGGCCGCCCAGGGTTAACTGGGGCGGGGCGGGGCGCGGGCGGGCGCGGGGCGGGGCGGCGGGACACCCTCACCCTCCCGGCCGTCGCCATGGCCGCCGGCCCCGCGCCCCCCGGCGGGTGCCCCAGCGCGCAGAGGCCGCATCTGAGCAAGGTGGGTGCCGGGCGGACGTCCCACCGTGCCCCAGGTTCCCGACATCCGAGGGCAGGAGGGGCCGGAGAGGAGTGGGTGCGGGTGCGCGCGAGTGTGGACGCTGCGCGAGCGCGCGAGTGTGGACGCGGGGCTGGGGGCGCTGGCTCTGTGTGGGGCGGAGCGGCGCCGGGCGGGCGGCGGAAACCCCCGAGCTGAGGGTCGCCCCTCGCGTCTGCCCGCTCCCCCAACCCCCGCTCGCGCCTCCACCTCCAGCCGCGGCCTGAAATACCCCATCGCTGCGCGTTAATCCCCTCTGAGCGCCCTGATCCGGGCAGCCTGGCCGGTCCGGGAATCAGGGTCTCGGGTGGGGGAGGCCGGCCAGAGCGGACCCTCAAGGCCCCCTTCGCCCAGATGGAGCGGGTGGTCGTGAGTATGCAAGACCCCGACCAGGGCGTGAAGATGCGGAGCCAGCGCCTGCTCATCACTGTCATCCCCCACGCGGTTGCCGGTGAGGGGCCGCGGAGGCTGGGGTGGGGGGCGAGCGGCCCTGCCTTGGCCTCCCCCCACCCCAGTCTCTGCTGTGCAGGCAGCGACATCGTGGAGTGGTTGATCCAGAAGTACTGCATCTCGGAGGAGGGTGAGGGGTCGGCCCGCTGCCCGTCCCTCCCCCCACCCCCCTGGGGGTCGCCCTGCGGATGGCCTGGGCGGGGCATCTCCGGCGCACCCATGTCAGACCAAGCCCAGTGCGCTGGGGAGGGGAGCTTGTGGGGTGGGGGGACCAGCTCGGCTCTCCCCGCTGAGCACTCCCCACGCGCCCCCAGAGGCCCTGCACCTGGGCACCCTCCTCGTGCGCCACGGCTACCTGTACCCACTGCGGGACCCCCTCAGCCTCCTGCTCCAGCCAGACGACACGCCCTACAGGTTCCAGGTCAGGCTCAGCTGGGAGCAGGTGGAACGTCCCCCCCTCCAGCAGCCCCACGAGTGGGGACCCCTGGAAGGGGCAGGGCTGGGGTTGGAGCAGGGTACTGGGTGATTTCACTGCAGGCCTGGTGGTCCAGCCACGCTTCCCCAAATGGGCTGGACTGGAAGGGTCCTTGTGGTAGAGACACCAAGTTAAGGGGCGGGACTTTCAATTTTTCTGGGGCCACAGTAGGGCCCCCATAAAGGGTAGTGCCTGGGGAGGATCCTCCAGGGGTCCTTTGACCCCTGCCCCTGAAGGAGGCTGTGTGGGGCCTGAGTGCAGGAGCCTTCCACCTCACTGTGTCCTCAGTCATGACGGACGCCCCCTCCTGCCCTCCCTGGCCACAAACAGGCACCCAGGCTGGGCCTGCCCTCAGTCCCTGCCCCTCCCTGGCCCCTCAGCACAGGCTGTGACTGCAGTGGGGACTTGGGCTCCTCCCCACCCTGCCCTGGGGCTGCACCTCGGAGCCCGGAGTCAGGGAGGCCATCCCTGCACAGGGCCCCAGGCGTGAGTGGAGCTTGGTTCAAGGTGGAGAGAATGGCCCGGGTCAGTGACCCTCGGGGCCATGGGCGGACAGGCAGATCCTGGCAGCCAGCCCATTCTCCTCCCAAGGGACCTGAGAGGGTGGGGGCAACTCCTGGGGAGGGAAGGCCCAGGAGGTCCCAGACATTCTTGTCCCTGCACTGCACCAGACGCCCTATTTCTGGACGAGCACCCAGTGGCCAGCCGCCGAGCTGGACTATGGTGAGTGGGGAGCGGCAGGCTAGCCTGCACAAGCTCCCAGGACTGGTGGCCTCTGGGTAATGCCAAAGGGAAGGAGGGGCAGAGATTGCTCTTGGCAGCCTGTCCCCCTGTCCTTCCAGCCATCTATCTGGCCAAGAAGAACATCCGAAAGCAAGGAGCATTGGTCGACCATGAGAAGGTGGGCTCCCCGCCAGGCTGAGTCCAACCCTTGGACCTCAAGCCCCACTTGTGGCCCCAGGGCCTCACAGTTTGCCCTGGAGCCCACAGCCCAGGCCCCAGGATAATGCACATGCGCACAACCTCTAAGGCTCAGAGCCGGGCACGGGAGGGGTCACCCACTGAGACCTCGACCCCCCAGGAGCACTACAACCAGCTGCACAGGAAGATCAGCCACACGTGGGACCTGGTAGTGATGCAGGCGAGGGAACAGCTGCGGTGAGGCCCGGCCCTGCAGCCTTGGGACCAGAAGGCACGGCCGGCTTGGCTGCCTGCCCGGGCCCTGGCCTGATGGGGTGGGGGAGGCGCTGTGGTGGGCACGGTGTCCTCCCAACGCCACCTCCCCCCCAGAGCAGCTAAGCAGCGCAGGAAGGGGGACAGGCTGGTCATCGCGTGCCAGGAGCAGACCTTCTGGCTGGTGCACAGACCCCCGGTGAGCCCCGTGTGGGGATGGGGCGGGTTGCGGACGGCAGTGGGGTCCTGCTGGGAGTTGGTGTGTCTTGCTCAAACGCTCACGCAGACCTGTGCTTTGAGCCTGTGGGAAGGACGTGCCTTTTGGGGTCCTGGTGGGTGACGGGAGGTTCTAGTTATGTGGCTCATCCGAACCCAGAGACCACAAGGCCAGGCCTCGCTGCCCCACACTCCCGGACCCCAGGACAAACCAATTTCTCTCCAGGTCTGAGGGAAAGGCACTGGGAAGCAGAATGGGGGTCCTGAGGACCCTTGGGAGGAGGCAAAGTGGAGCCAGAGCATGAGGGACAGAGGTCAGAGGCCAAGAGCTTCTGGTGGGTTCCTGCCTTACCCAGGGCCGTGGTCCTCGTGGGTTGTTTGAGGTCCCCTATTGTGTGGGCCTGTAGAGAGATGAAGTGGGCACAGCCAGGGGTGGCCGGGCAGTCACAGCTACCGTGAATGGAAGCTCCTGTGGGAAAAATCCATGAAAAAAAGTGAGAGGAACCCACAGCCCATCCAGTGTGTGGGGGGCGGGGGGATCTGGGAAAACAACTCGTCGTGCACCTGAGGGCCAGGCAAGAGGGCATAGTGGGCGTGGCCCCAAGGCTGTGCGCATGGCCCGGGGTCAGCCAGGCTGACCATGAGGGGTGGGGGTCCATGTGGAGGGGACCTCAGGGCGAGTGGGCACGAGGCGGCGGTGAGGGAGGGTCCAGCCCGGGGTGTGTGACTGAGGAAGGGGTGGTGGGACGTACGGCTGTGGTGAGGGACTCTCTGGAGAACGTCAGGTTTCTGCTTGAGCAGGCGGCTTGTGGAGGTGAGCTTGGCGGAGGCGAGGAAGAACGGGGAGCTTTGGGGAGAAAGTCAAGGATTTCGCCTGAGTGGCAGAGCCAGGCTGGGGCGAGGTGTGCATGTGGAGCTCAGGGGGCCATGCGCTGGGCGAGGTGCTGGAGAGGAACCTGGAGCCGGCTCTGGGAGGGGAGGTGGCCAGGAGCTGGGAATGGGCGGAGAGGGGACTCAGAGAGGCTCAAGGCTCAGGCTCCTGGGTTCCTCTGAATCTGTTTTCACACTAACGGCATGGCATGTGGCTGCAGAGCTTCGGCATTGGGGGCTAGTGGGGGCAGGAACGTAGCCCCGGGCTGGGTCTCAGCAGCCCACCTCAGCCCCCCACCTCATCTCCTCTCCCCTCTGCAGCCTGGGGTCCCCAGCGTGCTGGAGCAGGGTCCAGAGCGGGGCTCCTGCACAGCCAGGCGAGTGCAGATGGTGAGGGCCCTGCACGCAGCCCCCAGCCCCCCCCCAACTCCTGCACCACTGTGGGACTACTTGGGGGCTGCCGTCCATCCTTCTGTCCATCTGTCCATCCAAATGGCAATTGACGCAGCTGCTCCGCTGCATCACTGCCCCGCTCCTGGTCTCCCTCTCCCCTCGCTCAGTCCCCTCTCCCAGCCCCCTGCTAACTCTCGCCTTCTCTCGCCTCCCACCTGCTGCCCTGGGTGCAAGTAAGTGCAATGACTCCGGGCGGGGGGACGGGGGTGCTCTTCCCCAAGACCAGGGCAGCATCAGGGTCCACAGGGAGTTGGAGGGGTGACAAGCAGGGCCATGGGCCTGAGGGACTTGGGCCAGACCAGCCACCTCCCTCCAAGGCCTCTGGTGGCCTCTGGAACCAGAGGGAACTGGACCTGCACAGACATGTCCAAACTTTGTAACAGCAGGGCCCTCTGTTCAAATCCTGTGAAATCTAAAATACGGAACAGGTTCGCCTGGGGCCTTACTGACAAAGCTTCTTCCTAACCTCGAAACCCTAAGCTCACGGTCATAGGTTTATAGTTCCCCCATCATAAAGTCGGTCAAAGAGAACTGAGAAAGACTGAAATCACAGGCCTCCTGAGGGTGCTGTGGCCCTCGCCTCCGCCTGTTCCCGTGTTGGTTGTGAGTGTTGGGAGGGGCCAGTCATTCCGTGGTCACACTCTGTCCCAGAGCCCATGAGCAGACGGCAGGCGGGGTCTGAGCTCTGCACACAATGAGTTAAACTTGGAGATAAGTTAACAAGGCCAGGGGCCCAGCATGAGCCCATAGCAGCATCTCTTGTGCATAGGTTGTTTATATAAAGGATCTAAATACATCTGAAAATATGAAAGAGTGACAATTGGGGAACCTCAAAGCAACTTTGAGAACCTAAGGGCTCCATGGAACATTCTGGAAAATGCCAGACCATAGGCCCCTAGACGTTTCCTGGGAAGTCAGACCCCTCATTGGAGGAGGGGGCTCTGAGGGCTGGGACAGGGGTGGGATGTCAGTCCCCAACAGGGGCCTGCCTCCTGACTGCAGCCCACCCGGCCCTTTCCAGACCAAGAACATGGATTTCTACAGGCGGGAGGTATGTCCTGGGGGCCACTGGGAGGGGAGGGCTGGCCGACCCCTGCGCAGGCCACCTCACAGGTCTCGTGTCCCAGATCGAGTACTGCAGGAAGGCGCTGGGCCGGACCCGGGTGAAGTCCTCAGTCTGCCTCGAGGCGTGAGTGGGATGGGGGGTGGTGGCTGGGGACCCCCAGCCCAGAACCCAGACCCTCCTCCCTGGCCCTCGTCCCCACAGCCCCTCCCTGCCCTGGCCCTGGCCCATCCCCACCCCCAGGTACCTCAAGTTCAGCAGCCAGCACGGGCCGCATGACCCCATCATGTCCGGGTGCCTGCCCAGCAACCCTTGGATCGCAGACAGTGACACCTACTGGGTCGTGAACGCACCCAGGTGAGCCCAGGATGGCCCGTGTCCTCCCCACCTCCCCACCTGCCCCACATTCCTTGTGCTCCTGGCTGACCCCGCCCTCTCCCCCAGCGTGGCTGCGCCCACGAAGCTCCGTGTGGACCGATGGGGCTTCAGTTTCCGGGAGCTCTTGGAAGACCCCGTGGGACGCGCCCATTTCATGGAATTTCTCAGGAAGGAGTTCAGTGGTGAGAAGCTAGAGGCCCTGCTCAAGGTCCCAGGGCGGAACACCCCCGACCCTGTTCCCACCAGCCCTGCCTGCAGCTCGGGGTGGGCCTGACCTGGTGCCTGGACCCCCAGCCGAGAACCTCAGCTTCTGGGAGGCATGCGAGGAGCTGCGCCACGGAGGGCAGGCCCAGGTCCCCGCCCTGGTGGACGCCGTGTACGAGTGAGTGCTGAGTGGCGGGTGCTGGCCGGCGGCCGGCTGGGGTGAAGAGCCTGGACCACCCGGCTGTTCCCCGTACACAGGCAGTTCCTGGCCCCTGGTGCCGCCCGCTGGGTCAACATCGACAGCCACACGATGGAGCGGACCCTGGAGGGGCTGCGCCGGCCCCACCGCTACGTGCTGGACGACGCCCAGCTGCACATCTACATGCTGATGAAGAAGGTAGGCACCCCCTCCCTGTGCCGCCCGGGAGGCTCAGGGGCATCCAGCCCAGGCCAGGCCTCAGTGTCCCCCACCCCCAGAGCAGGGTCAAAGGGCCACCGCCCTGGAGCCCTGTCTATACACTCACGCCCCCAGGGGGCTGCCCTTACTCTGCCCTTTATAGCAGAACAAACTGAGCCTCCGAGGGGCTGCCCCAGGCACGCGCTTAATGAGGGCCCAGCGCTGACTTTAAGAAGCATTTTAATAGGGAACAATTCAGATATACACAAAAATAAAGTGAAATGATGAATCCCCTGGAACCTACTGCCTGGCTTCAAAAATGGTCACCCAGGGCCTGTCCAGACTCACGGTCACTCCTGCCCGCTGCACCCACCCCATGACTTTAGCGCCGTTTCCAGCCTTCCTATCTGCAGGTGTTTCGGGAAGTTCCTCTGAAGGACATGGACCTTCTCCCTTTTCAACTTGACCGCACATGCCAGCATCACATGCTGAACACGAGCAGCTTTCCCTCCACGGCCTCAGTCGGGGTCCTCGCTCCCCAACGGCCTCCCTCCGTGTTCGTTCTTGTTGCCACTGCAAAAACACGCCCCCAGCTTGGTGGCTTAAAGCCATACAGATTTATGCTCTCGCAGTTGTGGAGGCCAGAAGTCTGACACGGTCTCCCTGGGCTAACATCAAGGGGTCTGCAGGGCTGGTTCCTTCTAGAGGTTCCAGGGGAGAATCCGTTTCTGGCCTTTTCCAACTTCGGAAGGCGCCGCATTCGTTGGCTCCCGGCTCCTTCTCCCATCCTCGCAGCCAGCAGAGCACAGCTTCAGATTTCTCTGTCTCTGACGCTCCTGCCTCCCACTTCAACTTATAGGGGCCCCTGTGATCACGCTGAGCCCGGCTGGGTCATCTGGGGTGCCTCCCAACCTCGAGAGGATTAACTTGATCACATCTGCAGAGTCTCTCTGCCTTTTAAGGGACATAGTCACAGCTTCCAGGGCCCAGGGCTTGACATCGCTGGGGGCTTTTATTCTTTATACCACGGCCTAGAAATAGTTCTCTTTCTATTTTCTTTTCAATTTGCTTGAATTTGGATCCAAACGAGGTCCATACGTCAGAATTGATTAAGTCTCTTAAGCCTCTTTTTGAAGTGTCGGTTTCTTCTCTAGATCTTTTTTTTCTGATTTCTGGTTTTGTTTTGGAGGAATTGAGTCCTTTGTCCTGTAGCATTTCCCACCGTCTGGATTTTTGCTGACCACACCCCTGTGGCATCTTGGACGTGTTTCTCTTTGAGGTCTCCCCTATGTTTCTGCAAATCGGTAGTCACATTTAAAGTTTGTCAGATTCATCTTCGGTTTCATTGTTTGTGTCTTTGGTCGGTTTTGTCAAGAATATTTACTGCAGAGACGTGCTTGCTGTGTCTCCATCAGAAGGTCTGAGCGCTCCACCCCTCCTCTCTCTGTGACATATACAGCAACTCACAATCGTGGCTCAGATCCGTGATTTCTTTAGGGTTTGACGTTCTGATCCCATCACGGCTGAGCTGGAAGCTTCCTGTGAGATGCCTCCCTCGCCTGCTCTTTGCTGGCCCAGCGGCCCCATCCTAGAAGAAAAGCAGAATCAGTGCTCAATTCTTTCCTTTTTTACCACTTTTAAAAATAATAAGTGGGACCCCCTCGTATCTGCGAAGGGTGGTCAGTGAGGGTGGGATGTTTTTAATACCCTCATAAATTCACATTTTCACCAGATTTGATGGGTTTTTATTCTTACATGATGTTCAGAGTGCCACGTCTCCGGCCAGCTGGCTCTTGAGTCATTTGATGTGCCCCGCCAGCCCCGGGGGCTTCCTTGCTTTCTCGCATGGTGGCTTGTCCCACAGCACAAATTTGGACGACTCCTGCCCGGACGTAGAGGCAGCAATTTCCACAGAAGCCCTGGCCCTTTTTCCAGGGTGGTGTTTAGACACCTTGACCTGCACTCCAGTTGTGTCATTGAGACTGGGGTGGCCATCGTGCTCAGGCCTTTCAGTGGACAGAAGTGGGACATAGGTGTGTTTTAAATAAAATCTATCCAGAGTTCATCCTAAGACCTGTAATTCAGATCCAGGATTGCCGCTTCCTCAAGTTCCTTGACCTTCCCTCTCTGTCCTCACTCCCCTACCGAAGATCTTTCCATCTGCTTTTCTTGAAGTTCACGCAGGAGCACCGACGAGCAGCACAGCTCTGCCGTTTACAACGCAGTCACAAAAACGGCTTCCTTCTTTCCCTTTTCTGTCCTTGGTGTGTGTCCTACGGGGACGTCTCCACGAACAGCTCCACCATGTGGTTCGGGTGGTGTCACCCACCGGATGCCCAGCTAGACTTGTTCCACTTCACTTTCAGTGTTTGCGGATTACTTATTTATTTATTTTAAGATTTTATTTTTCCTTTTTCTCCCCAAGGGCCCCCGGTACATAGTTATGTATTTTTAGTTGTGGGTCCTTCTAGCTGTGGCATGTGGGACGTCGCCTCAGCATGGCCTGGTGAGAGGTGCCGTGTCCGCGCCCAGGATCTGAACCAGCGAAACCCTGGGCCCCCGAAGCAGAGCACGCGAACATAACCACTCGGCCATGGGGCCGGTCCCCTTATTTTATTTTTATAATTATGTAAAATATCAACACAGTTTCAAAATCCAGTATACGAAACAAAGTACATTCAAATAAACCTGCTCGTGTCCCTGCCCCTCCATCTTCCCTTCTTCCCACTAATGTTAACAACTTGACTTTTATATTTATTTGTCTTTTAAAAATATGAGCAATTCAGTTCGTAGATTCCCCTTCCTCTTTACTGAACACTATGCAGTTTTCCTCAACCTTGTTTTTTATTTGGCTCCATGTCCTTGCCCTCACTCTGCTGTTACACAGAGAACAGGGGTACGCTGGCTCCCTGTGACAGCTGCTCAGGAGTCCCCTGCTGGAGGGGCCGTGGTCCGTGCTCCAGGCATGGGCACTGGGCTCCTACCCTCCTTTTGCTGGTAAATGGCCCAGCTGGATGGGAGCCCAGGTCTCCCTGAGGCTGTCTGACTTGGTGTGGCAGGTCTGGGACCGCCACCTCCAGCACTGTCCCCTGGGGGACCTGAGGGTTGGAGGAGACCCCAGCAGCGCCAGCTGCACCGCGGGGAAGCTGGCTGAGGCGAGGGGCTCAAGGGGTCAGGGCTGCACACTGTCTCTTGCAGGATTCCTATCCCAGGTTCCTGAAGTCCGACATGTACAGAGGCCTGCTGGCGGAGGCCGTGGTCCCCCCGGAGACCAAGTGGCGGTGAGCCGCGGTGGGGCCCAGCGCCTGGAGCCGGCCAAGCCCACAGCGAGGTGGGCAGGAGGTCGCCGCCCTGCACTCAGGCCCGGTCTTGCCCCCAGGGTGTTCCCGTTCATGCGGAAGCCCAGGCGCTCGAGCCCCAGCCCTGCTCTCCTCGCTTCCATGGAGCCCGCTGCCGCTGCTGGCGGCCCCAGGGGTGGTGACGGGGAGGCCTAGGTGGGCCTGACAGCAGGAGGAGGTGGCCATTCTCAACTCTCATCACTGTCCCCTCGGTCCTGGAAGCTGCTGAGGCCCCGGCACGGCGTCCCCTCGTGCCCAAAGGGCCTGGCCTTGCTGCAGGGCCAGGAGCCTCTCGTGGGCTTCCCACCTTTCCCTTGGGCCACCCCCCCCCCCCAGAAGGGACCGGTCCAGGTGCTGGCTCCAAGGGAGGGGCTGTCATTGGCTGAGCTTGGGTCACCTGGAGAACGGGGAGATGGGATGGGCAGACCAGACTGCTGCCACGCGGAGCTCCTGGCGTTCTGTGGTCTTCAGCTGAATGGTACTGGGTGCCCACGCCCATCCCCAGAACCATTAAATGGGCGGCGAATACCTGGGGAGCAAGATGCACACACAGACTGGCGGTTTCCCGCAGGCAGCACTTGCCTGTGGTGAGGACGTGCCGGCCTCAGGGCGAGTTCACCCGCTCCACTCGCCCGCAGGATGCTGATGGGGACCCACAGAGGTGGGGACACACGGAGCTCCCCCAACTCCACTGGGGCCGTGCTCAACCTTCCGACGAGCACAGAGCCGTGTGCAAAGGCATCGCCCTAGCCTCAGCTGTCACTGCGTGTCTCAGACCTCGTCCTGAAGGTGCACCTCCGTCTGGTCTCCTTGAGGCCGTGGCTTCTCCGCCAGAGTCATACAGAGGTGGCTCCCGTGTCATCACCCCTCTGACAGCCGTCCTGGTTCATGGCCAGGGCGGATCTTTGCCAGGGCTGACAGGTGGAGTCTTTGGGGGAAGAGGTGGTGACACCCATCACCATCTCTCGCGGGGCCCCCAGACGCAGGCTGAAGGTGCAGCCACTCCTCTGGGAGGCAGCTCTGACTGACACAGCTGGGGTGCCACCCTTCCCACAGGGCTGGCCCCCTCCCTCCCTCTCCTGCCCACGCCTGGCACAGAAATAAAAGACCTTCAGCCATCACTCTAGGCCCTGCTGCTGTGGTCCATATTGTGGCGTGAGTGTAGATGTAGGGTGTGTGTGTGCATATGTGTGGGTGTGTGTGCATACGTCTGTGGGGGGTTTGCGTGCGTGTGTGCATGTGTGTGTGGTGTGTGAGCATGTGTGAGTGTGGGGGTGTGTGTGCATGAGGTGTGCAGTGGTGAGGGAGGTGGTGAAGGACAATGAGGGGAGTTCACTGTCAAAGGCAGTGGCTTGGATGGTCCCATGTGTGGGGTCCACAGCAGAGGAAGGACCCAGCCCTCAGTCCTCAGGCTCAGACGTGGGGTGTGGTCCTTGGGGAGAGTGGGGAACGTTCTTTGTGTTCTGGCAGGACAAGGATGTGAGTGTGCCAGGGGACAGTGAGGAAACCAAGTCCAAGGGCCCCATGGTGGGGAGACTCCTAGTGTTGAATGCAGGGTCTCCTGGGCTTCTGGTGCCCAAGGCCTCAGAGTTGCAGGGAGCCCGGCAGAGGCCAACCCCCAGGCACCGAGTGACTGTGCGCAGCTGCTTGATTTACAAGTCCAGGTGCAGTATGCCCACCTGTGACAGCGTCCCCTGGCTCAGGTCCCAACTCTGCTTACTGTCCCAGGGCTTGCGGGTAGTTCCTTCCCAGAGCCAGCTCCTCCATCCAGCACTGCAGGCCCGACCTAGACCCTGGGAGACTGTGGGTGGCGCTGAGCCCCAGCCCTGCCTGCCCCTGGTGACTTTCACTCACAGGACTCGTCATCGCAGCCCCGTCATGCTGAGGCCCTATTGGCTGGGCAGCTTTTCACAGGGACAAGGGACATGCTTCATTCAAACTCAGCCCCCTGTCACCCGCCCCAGGCCTTCGGATGTGGTTCTGTGTGGCTAGAAAACAAGGCTTTTGTATTTCAATGTCCACAGGAAATTCCGCAGGATCCTCCAAAGCCACGGCCCTCATCACTTTGGTACCCAGATCTGGTCTCACTGAGGCCCCCTGGGGGTCCCCCTGCCAGAGCTCACCCCCAGCCCCTCCCTGGCCAGCCTCGGGGACGCATGGGTGCTGGGGGACTCCTTGCCTGCCCCAGGCGGAGCACATCCACGTCCATGGCCGGGTTTCCGGCTTGCTGTGGGTGGGGCGCTCCGAGAAGCACAGGTAGAGGGTCCCTCACCCCCTCAGCCACCCTCCCCACCCTGCTCCAGCAGCCCGGCCGGCAGCAGATCCACTTCGCCCCTCTGGAGCAGACAGACAGACATGAGGCACGTGCGCCCTCACGGGCTCTTCGGTCAGTGCAAGATGTTTATTCTGCTTTCTTCCTGCGGTGCCTGGGTCAGGCTGCTTTTTCTCATCTGGGCACGGCTGACCGCACAGAGCACCATGGCGGGGCGGGCCTGGGCGCACAAGGCACAGAGGTGAGTCCCGCGTCAGGTGACACCGACTGCCGGGGCCGTCCGAGCACCAGGAAGGAGGAGAGGCGCTGGCCACACCCAGGGGTGCAGGGACCCAGGAGACAAGCAGCTCCAGTGTGCATCAAGGGGGCGCGTCCTGCGGCCAGTTCCCTGGGACATTCACAGCACAAGCAGCCAGCACGGGGGCGTGAACCCTCCGAAGGACACCCTCGAGTGGCTGGCGGGCCTCCCGGCCCATACAGCCCCACCCCCCATGGGCCCAGTCAAGGGGACACCTCAGGGCAAGTCACCACCAGCCACGCTAACGCCTTCCCTTCCTTGCAGTACGAAGGGCGGGGCTGGAACTGCCATCCAGGGCCCACCACCCTCTGAGCGCCATGACCCCAGCGGACAGTGCAGAGAGAAAGGCTCAGACGGGTCGAGGGGAGGGATGTCTGTGGATGGAGCCCAGGCTCTCCCACAGCAACAGCCCCTCTGGCTAGTGGATGAGTGAGGTGGGCCGCCGCAGGGCCAAGCACGGCCCACAGTGGCCCAGCGACACCGCCGGGAAGGCAGGTGGCCTTGAGCATGACCCCAGTGTCCTCACAGCATGCTGGGCAGGAGAGGGCAGAGGCCTGGGCGTCCCCTCGCCCACGCGCATCCCTGGGCAGGACGAGGACCTGGCAGAGAGTGTCGGCAGGGTCGGGAGTGGGGGTCGGAGTGCAGACTGAGTGGGCGAGGGGGCGACGTCCCAGGACCTTTAATGTCAGCAGCTGGAGCCTCTCCCGTAGCTCCGGCGTGGCTAGGCCTCGCTCCGGTACCGCAGGCGGGAGAACCGGTCCCTGACAGTCTCGTCACTGTCAGGTCCGCCCTCGGCCAGGTGGACCACCCTGCTGCTCAGGATGAGGTCCCGCACCTTGTGCTTGGCCACGGAGACCAGGCCGGGTACGTCTGGGCTGGCTGGGCCGGTCAGCAGGAGGCAGGCAGCGTGGCGGCTTGGCTCAAACAGGACCGCTGTGGGGGACACGGCCATCAGGTCTGGGAACCAGCCAGAGCAGCCCTCGCAGCGGGTGGAGCCCAGGCCATGTGGAGGCCGCACCCACCATGGAAGGTGATGATATTGGCAGAGACGTTGGCCAGCTCCAGCAGCACGCTAGGCAGGGTGGGGTGGAACATGTACAGGCTGTGCTGGGCATCTCCGGGCTCCTAGGGCAAGAACAGGCCATGGGGCGTGGGTGACTGGGGCCACGACCAGCTCCATGTCCGGGTGGCAGACACCAAGCGTCCTTGGCCAGGTGGCCAGGCAATGCTGAGCTCACCCCTCACGGGATGCTCCTGACAGTGACGACGCCCAGAGCTGTGTCCACCAGCGTCCCCACCCGGGGCCCAAAAATGCCCATTCTAACTCCACCCACCTGCCGCCTCTCCCCTCAACCAACCCGGACCCTCCTCGGTGTCCTCTAGCTGAACACTGTGCCCGTCTTCCTGTGCCCCCACTTATTCCCAGGTTCCCCTCATCCGCCCCAAGGCAGACCCCAGCCCCGGCTTCCCCTGTGGCCTTTCAGCTGCCGCATCCCGCCCGCTCTCACACAGCTGCTGTTTATCTGGGCTCGCCGGGTCACAGTCACCGGCTAGCTCCTGGCGCCTCAAGGCAGGACCCAGGCCTGTCCGCTGGACTCTGGATGCTCCTGGCGGGCGTGCCCCGAGCACCTGCCCTGCCCGTACCATCTGGTTGGTGCCCATCAGCTCGTGGAGGCCCCAGAAGAAGAAGGCCGAGCGGTGGTCTGCGGTGGGCAGGCTGGCGGACTGAGGGTCCCCGGGGAGGCCCGGGAGGACCTGGCTCCACAGGACGGCCCCGCTGCTGAGGTCCAGGAGCAGGATCTGGGGAGGGAGGGGCAGCGTGCGGGGCTCGGCGGGGCTTGCACAGGCACACGGCCAGCCCTGCCAGCCCTGAGGAGCTGTCCCCCAAAGGCAAACAGGACGGGTCACTGGGGCTCAGCCTCCCGGCCACAGCCAGGTGCCGTTCAGACTAGTTCTCCTCAGCTGTGGACAAAGGCAGGCCCCTCAGAAGGAAGTGCAGCCGACCTGTCTGTCAGTGCCGGTCCCATTTTCAATGACCACGGCCCAGGTGTCAGGCTTGTAGTAGCCGAGGACGGGTTTCCTGGAAGGAGAAGAGGGCAGAACTCACAAGGGCCTCTGGAAGCAGACACCTGGGGACAGGCCCGCCCCACCTTCTTTGGCCACACCTCGGCAGAGCGGGGGCAGCCCATGCCAGGGCCCTGACGGGAAGCCGACACCAGGGGCTTCACCAGCCCCTTGATGTGGGCACAGGGCAGCACCAGGTGACAGGCAGGAGGCTCTGGCAGAAGCTCATGGCCCTCCAGCCCCCCAGTGTCATCCCCAGGGCCACCAAGGGGATAGGCTGGGGGTGCCTGGCTTGCAGCGATCGCACAGGTTCCTGGAGAAGGACCCCATACCTCAGGACCTGGGCTGCACTGAGGGTCCACCTGGGGGCCAGGTCCTGCCCGTCCAGCAGCTTGCAGGCCTCTGAGCTCACGAGGAGGAGGTCCTCGCCGGCTTTCCCCGGGACCACCATCAGGAAGCGGACAGCTCCAGAGCTGCAGAGGCAGGGGACTGGGCTCAACACAGAGGTGGTGGGAGGCCGGGACCCCCCATGTGCTGCTGGGCTGCGTCCCTCGGGTTCCCGTGGCACAGCCCGCACTCCCAGTTCTCTGAAACGAGACCCTCCGGGGAGACCAGGAAAAGCCCACTGTCAGGACCCTGTCTTCTCTGCTTTTCATCCAGCTTCTCTTTGCCGACTTTGGCTCATGGTTCCCAACAGCAAGGCCCTCGTCCCCTCCGCCGGCTCGACGGCTCTGGGCACTCGGGAGCGGCCCCGACCCGTAGGAGCTGCCGCCCAGACCAACCTGTGCAGAAGCAGCCTGTGGGTGGTGGCGTTGAGCATGCCCTCCCAGCGGGGGTCTTTCTTCAGGGGGCTGTCCCTCCCGGTCACCTTCTCGTAGAGGCCCTTCACGGAGTAGCCACACAGCGAACCCGCTGTTCAAACATGGAAGAGCCTCAAGTCATGGGGGCCTCTGCCGGGGTCTGGGGAGGAGGCACGCCCACCAGCCCCGCTTCCAGGACACGCGGGGCCCTCCCCGAGCCTCGGGGAGCTGGGGCTCCTGAGGTTTTCTGAGCCCGATGGTGTTGACTCGCATCCCTGGAATTAAGGCAGAAGCTGACAAGTGTGGCTGCGGTCAGACTTCCTCACACTCTGTCCTCCCCGAGGGGCTGAGCTCCTCTGAGACCAGCACGGCCTCCGAGACCAGCACGGCCTCCGAGGCTGGGGCGGCCCTGGGAAGAGCAGATGTGACATACCGCAGGGGAGAAGGATGTAGGGGGCACCCGCCCTAGTGACGTGGAGCAGGGAGCCGCTGGTCCCGTCTACACCGAGGCTGCCTCGGCGGCCGATCTGGTGCCCAGTGCTGCCTGAATGGACATAGCCATGAACCTGCAACACACAGGAGGGGTCAGCAGTCTGTCGTCCGAGGAGGTGGTTGTGATTTAGTGTCTGATACCGGGTGCCTGTGCGCAGCCCTCCTGGGAGACGCGGGCAGCCCCATCTCAGCCCGCGGAGCCCTCCATCCGTGGAGCTTCACCCCAGCGCCGCATGGCACCCATGAGAGGCACTCCCCGCTCCCTGCTCTTGGGGCGGCCGGAAGCTGCGGGCAGGGACAGAGCCTCCCAGCGTGCTGAGTCTGCAGATGCCAGGGGCGCAGGGCCCTGGGCGCGTCCCCGGAGAGGTGGTCAGACCCAAACTCTGCTGGGAAGTGGTAGTGGACTGGAGGCAGAGGAGGCTGTGGGGACTCGGGAGGAGCCCTACCTCCCCGTCCTCCCGGGTGAGAACCAGCAGGTCAGGGGCACCATCGGCGTCAACGTCGGGCACCTGGAGCAGAGGGCGCAGCACAGAAGCATTCCCACCGAAGCTGCTGGGACGGCTCCACAGTGTTTCCCCTAAAGCCAAGTGCAGTGTCACTGCCTGTGGGTGCAGCCCCTTCCCCGCGCTCAGACACACAACCAGCACCAGTGGGAGGCTCCTGGCAGATGCAGGCCACACCTGCTGAACACTGATTCACGGTGCTGGCGCTCCAGCTGGGCCAGCGACGCTGGGAGCCACAGAGTCCCCTCCTTTCCGGCTTGTCTGCATTTTCTGACATTCGGCTCTAGAACATCTTAGGGCCGACGCTCCCCACCCGGAGGGACAGGGCCTGATTGCTACCTCCTGAGGCCTCTCAGGACCCCGTCTCCTGCTGGGGTCACAGGTGGACCCCCTGCCTCCACAAGGGCCTTTCCCCGTGCCCCGCACATGGGAGGGAGAGAGTGAAGTGCATGCTCATGGTGGGACCGAGGGACCACAGGTCCTCACCCAGATATAATCTTGCCCACATCTTTTTTAACTGGAGTCCTCTCCTCTTAAAATATTTCCAGCCTGCTCTTCATTTTCCTCTCTATCCTTGAAACCATAACTGGTAAGGGAAATGCTAACACTCACCAAATTCCTTAGGACCTTGGTAAGCTACGAGGGGCCATCGCTCAGTGCCTAAACATGCCTGTTACACTAAGCGCCTGCAAATCCATGGCACGGACAGGTCCTGGCTGCCCTGGTGGGCTCGATGCGGAGGCACGGCCTGGCTCGCTCTGGCTGCCCCATGTACCGCCCGGGAGCCAGTGGCAGCTCAGCTCCTCCTCACCTCTGCTAACCCCCAGCAGGTGCTCTGCTGTGACCCATGAGCAGGATTTAAACCGGAGGTGACAAGACACCGTGGAGTGTGACATGTCAGAGTAGCCGAGGCATATGATACCTTGTGTGGGAGTTACCTCCCACCCCTGTAATCTCCCTTCCCATCCAGTCACGCCACCCCTGCTGTCACGGGCTGACCCTTCTCAGAGCATCGTGGCCTTGGACCCCCGGCGTGAGGCCCAGGTGAAGCCACAGAGAGAAGTGGCCTACCTGTGAACGAGTTGACTGCGATCAAAGAACTGGGTCTGCCCACGAGGATGCAGGCAGAAGATGCCCCGCTGTCCCTCGGCTGGGGGACGGCGCACTCCACCAGAGCCCCGTCCTGGGCTGCGGGTCTCTCCCAGAGCACGCTGCCGTTGGCCCCTGACACTGCAGCCACAAAGGTGCAGGGAGAGGAAAAGCCTGCAGGGGGAGACCCAACTCTGTGGGCCAGGTGCGCACCCTGCTCCCGGCCACAGCCCCACCGCCTGGGCTCCTTCCCTTTGTCCCTGGGCCCTTGACCCCCAGACTCATGGGTGCCCTGGTGTTCACCCCACAGGGGTCAGCAGCCACCTGGGTGCCTAGACCAGAGCCTGTCTCCTTGTCTCTTTCTAGTCCTGCTAGGAAGGAAGGGCAATGTGACAGTTCCCAGAAATTCCACCAGTGCTCCCCAGATACTGCAGAGTGAGAGGATTCCTCCTCCCACCCCTCCTTTTCCAGATAAAAACAAAATTACCTTCATCGGCACAGGATCGGTTGATGAAACTGTTGCTGCTGTTGGTACTTTTATAAAGAAAGAGAACATCTTGGATCCTGTCTCTGTTTACATCTTCTGTAGCCAGAAAGTCGTACGTGACTGAAAAAGAAAACCACATACTACGTTCCTCGGGCCGTGTCCGCTGCGAAGGCCAGGCCACGTTGGACACCACCTGTTTCTCTGCTCCGTGGGGCTCCGTGGCAGTGAGCATCCGCCCCCATGAGATCACCAGCACAGGACCTGTGGCTTCTGCCTCACCAGGACGAGCAGTCCCCATGCTCTGCCGCACCAGCAAGGCCGCATGAGCACGACGGGCGCAGGTGCCACGTGTGAGCTTTAGGGAGGGACAGTGTCACACACGGATGTTCTGAAACTTCTCTTCAGGAAGGGACCCTCCCCTACATCCGCTTGGGATCTGGAGTCCACATTCCATACTCGTAAGGTCTACTCCTTCCTTTCATTCAAGGACTCAAATGACAAACTATATGCTTTAAAATGAAACAACAAAAGAATGAAGTTGGCCCCTTACCTCACACCATACATAAAAATGAACTCAAAATGGATCAAAGACCTAAACTTTAGAGCTAAAACTATATTGGGGCCAGCCTGGTAGTGTAGTGGTTAAGTTTGCACACTCCACTTCAGCAGCCCAGGGTTCGCCGGTTCAGATCCCGGGTGCAGATCTACACACTACTCATTACTCCATGCTGTGGCAGCATCCCACATACAAAAGTAGAGGAAGATCGGCACAGATGTTAGCTCAGGGCCAATCTTCCTCACCAAAAGAAAAATTAATAAAATAAAGATTTCCCAGTGGGAAAACAAACAAACAAACAAACAAAAGAGCTCAAACTACAAAAGAAAAAACATAAGGAAAAATCTTCATGACATTGATTTTGGAGATGATTTTTTTAATATGACACCAAAAGCATAGGCAACAAAAAATAGATAAATTGGACTTCAAAATTAAGAACTTTTGTGCATTAAGGACACTACCAAGAGAATGAGGGGCCAGCCTCGTGGCTGAGTGGTTAAGTTCATGTGCTCTACTTCAGGGGCCTAGGGTTTCGCCACTTCAAATCCTGGGCACAGACATGGTACCGCTCATCAGGCCATGCTGAGGTGGTGTCCCACATAGCAGAGCCAGAAGGACCTACAACTAGAATACACAACTATGTACTAGGGGGGCGCTTTGGGGAGAAGAAGAAGAAGAAAAAAGAGAGAGAGTGAAAAGACAATCCACAGATTAAAAGAAAATACTCGCAAATCATCTATCTGATAAAAAATTAATATCCAGAATATATAAAGAACTCCTACAACTCAACAACAAAAAAGAAAACCCAAGTGAAAAATGGGCAAAGGACTTGTATAGACATTTCTTCTAGGAAGATATACAAATGACCATAAGCACATGAACACTCACTAGTAATGAGGGAAAAGCAAATCGAAACCATAACAAGACACCATTTCACACTTGTTCAGACAGCTGTTATCTAAAAACAGAGAGAGAGAAAACAAGAGCTGGAGAAACTGGAGCCCTGTGCTTTGCTGGTGGGAACATAAGACGGTGCAGCCCCTGTGGAAAACAGTCCAGCAGTTTCTCAAAAGTTAAACACAGAATTAGCATGTGACGCAGCAATTTCATTCTTTGGGGAAACACCCGAAATAAGTGAGAGCAGGGGTTCAACTAAGCACTTGCACACCCGTGTTCACAGCAGCATTATTCACAGCAGCCAAAAGGTAGAAACAACCCAAGTGTCCATCAACAGAAGAATGGACAAACAAAATGTGGTCCAGCCATACAATGGAATATTATTTGCCCATAAAAAGGAAGGAAATTCTGACATATGCTACAACATAGATGAAACTTGAGGAAACTTATGCTCAGTGAAATTGGCCAGACACAAAAGGACAAATATGATATGATTCTACTACTATGAGGTCCCTAGAGTTGGAAAATTCATAGAGACAGAGAGTAGATTGGAGGTTCCTACAGGATGGAGAGCGGGGAGGAATGGGGAGTTACTGTCTGCTGAGTACAGAGTTTCTGTCTGAGACGATTAGAAGTTCTGGAAATAAAATACATAAGGAACTTACAAAACTCAACAAAAAAGTGAACAACCCGATCAAAAAATAGGGAGAGGATATGAAGAGACATTTTTCCAAAGAAGATACACAGATGGTGACAGACACATGAAAAGAGGTTCAACATCACTAATTATTAAGGAAATGCAAATCAAAACTACAATGAGATATCGCCTTACACCTGTCAGAATGGCTATAATTACCAAGACAAAAAATAACAAATGTTGGAGAGGACGTGGAGAAAATGGAACCCTTATACACTGCTGGTGGGAATGCAAACTGGTGCAGCCACTATGGAAAACAGTATGGAGATTTCTCAAAAAATAAAAAATAGAAATACCATACAATCCAGTTATCTCACTCTTGGGCATTTATTTAAAGAACATGAAATCAACACTTCAAAGAGACTTATGCATCCCTATGTTTATTGCAGCATTACGCACGATAGCCAAAATGACTGGATAAAGATGTGGTATATACACACACACACACACACACACACACACACACAATGGAATACTACTCAGCCATCAAAAAGACAAATCGTCCTATATGTGACAACATGGATAGAGCTTGAGGGTGTGACGTTAAGTGAAATAAGCCAGACAGAGAAAGACAAACAGCCTATGATTTCACTCATACGTGGAAGATAAACAAACACATGGATAAAGAGAACAGATCAGCGATTACCAGAGGGGAAGGGGGTTGGGGGTGGGCACAAGGGGTAAAGGGGCACATATGCATGGTGATGGATAAAAACTAGACTACTGGTGGTGAGCACAATGCTCTCTATACAGAAACTGATAAATAATAATGTACACCTGAAATTACACAACGTTATAAAGCACTATGACCTCTATAAAATAGCTGGGGGGAAAAAAAGAACATACACATAAACCTACCAGTCTCATTAATGAGTTCAACAAGGTCACAAGATGAAAGATTAATATAATAACCAGTAGTATTTCTACATACTATCAATGAGCAACCTGAAAATTAAGTTCACAAAACAATTCCCTTCACAGTAGCATCAGACAGAACATTTTGGAATAAATTTAACAAAAGAAGTGCAAGACTTGTCCATGGAACACTATAAAACATTGTTAAGAGAAATTAAAGATCTGAATAAATGGAGATATACTCCATTTACACGGACTGGAAGATTAATTGTTAAGATGGCATTTTACCCAAACTAATCTATAGATTCTACACAATTTCCATCAAAACCCCAGAAGGCTTTTTTACAGAAATTGACAAGTTGATCCTAAAATTTACATAAAAATGCAAAGGACCCAAAAGAGCCAAACCATTTTGAGGAAATAAAAAACAAAGTCGGCAGACTTATACTTCCCTATTTCAAAACACCGTAAAGCTATAATCAAGACAATGTGGTGTGAGGACAGACAGAGGCAAACCCAACAGGACTGACAGTCAATCGAGTGTCAAAGCAGGAGCCGAGGCGATTCAGCGGCAAAAGGACAACGTCCTCAACAAAGAGCGTTGGGACCAGTGGGTGCTGACATGTGAGCTACCCTCCCCCAGACTCACGGAGGCTGCTGGGCTGCTTTCCAGAAATTCCACCATTTGCTTCCACTGGCCACAAAAACTACCTCAAAATGGATTGCAGACCTAAATAGGAGAGCTAAAACTATAACATTTCTAGAAGGAAATACAGGAAAAGATCTTCATGACCTTAAATGAGGCAGAGTTCAGTGGCTGAGTGGTTAAGTTCGTGCGCTCTGCTTCGGTGGCCCAAGGGTTTCGCCGGTTCGGATCCTGGGCCCGGACATGGCACCGCTCATCAGGCCATGCTGAGGTGGCGTCCCACATGCCACAACTAGAAGGACCCACACCTAGAATATACAACTGTGTACTGGGGCACTTTATGGAGAAGAAGAAAAAAGAAGATGGACAACAGATGTTAGCTCAGGTGTCAATCTTTAAAAAAAAAAGAAATTAGGCAGAGTTCTTATGCCAAAAGCACAATCCATAATAAAAAACTGATAAATTTGACTTCATCAAAATTTAAAACTTTGGTGCTTCAGAAGACATCCTTTGAACACAAGCCACAGACCGGTTGTAAATATTTGCGAATCATATATCTGATAAAAGACTTGTATCTAGAATATATAAAGAACTTTAATAATTCAATAATAATCAGATTTTTTAAATGAGCAAAAGATTTGAATAGATATTTACCAAAGAAGATGTAGGAATGGCTAATAACCACATGAAGAGATGCTCAACATCATTAGCCATTAGGGAAATTCAAATTAAAAACACAGTGAGATACCACTTCTCACGCACTAGGATGGCTACAATCAAAAAGACAGATGGTAACAAGTGTGAGCAAGGATGTGGAGAACTGGAATTCTCTCCACTGGTGCTGTGGAAAACAGCCCGGCTGCTCCCTAGAAAGTTACACATACAATTCCACTCCTAGCAATCTACCCAGGAGAGATAAAAACACGTCCGCGTGAGACCTGTACATAAATGCTCATCGCAGTATTACTAATAAAAGTCAAAACCTGAAGACCATCTAAATGTCCACCACCTGGTGAACAGATGAACAATATGGTCTCTCCCTACAAAGGAAGACTGGTCGGTGATAAACAGGAAGGAGTATGCTACACGGACGAGCTCACGCTGAGTGAAAGGAGCTGGACTCAGAAGATACGTATTATACGATTTCATTTGCATGAAACGTGCAGAAAAGGCAAGTCTACAAAGACAGACAGACCAGTGGCCGCCTAGGGCTGGGGAGGGGGACGGCACTGATGGAATCCCACAGGGACGACAGAAATGCTCTAAAACTGGATTGTGGTGACAGTTACATAGCTGCTCTGTGAACTAACTAAAATCGTGGAACTGTATACTCAAGACAAGTGAATATTATGTAAACTATACCTCAATAAAGCTGCAAAAAATAAACACAGAAACATATTATTCCTCCCCCTCAAAATTAAGCACCAAATTCTGAACAGAACTGACCCCGAGTGAGGCTGAAACAAGAAAGTCTCTTTACTCCACAGAGAAGCCCTTGGGTCTATGCAAAGCAGCACTCCGAGGCCGCGAGCGCTCACATCCACCCACACGGTGACTGCAGGGCTGTCCCCGGCTCCAGAAGCCAGCGTCCAGAGAAAGGCTGACTCAGCTCTCAGGAAGGCCAGGGTCCAGGCTGCCCATCGTCAGGGAGAAGTGAAAGTGCGCTTTACTCTGGCTGAGCAGACCGGGTCTGGACGACAAAATCAGCCGCACACTCTTCATTTCACGACAGCTTCTCTGTGTCTGTTCTGCCCACTGTGCCGTTTCATTAATTTCTTTTTTAATTCAGAAAAGGAACCAAATGGGCCACTTTCCTTTATTGCCCCAACCCACCCTTCCTGTGCTCCCACGGTGGTCCTTCCATGTTTCCTTAGAGGCCGCTCTGCTGATCCCTAAAAGTCCAGGAAAACCGTGAACACTGTACTGGCGGCCACTCAGGGGTGATTCACTGTCAAAGACACCTCTGGACTCTGGGACACCTGCCGCCCCACCGCCCACCCCTCAGACCGCGCTGGGGAGGGGGCGCACCTGCTGTGTTGTAATGGATCCGCCACGTCCCCTGGGATGCTGGCCGGTCTGGACACGGGATGATGAAGGAAACCACAAACACCACAAGAAGGCAGATGAACAGCGAAAGGAAAAACGCCACCGCCCGGCAGCGGGAGAGGCGGGACTGCGGAGGCGTCCTTGTCAGGATGTCTTCCTTCTTCGCTCGGTTCTCCAGATCCTCCTGCAACTTCCTGTCTTCATTCTTCAAGGGGTGGATTTCAGCTTCTAAGTCCTTGATGTCCGTCATCGTGCGCACATCCCCAACTTTGACTCCTGGTCACTGCATCAACAGAACAGGGCACAGTCAACAAGCGGCAGAGACAGTCTCCCGGGGCTTTGCTGTTTTCAGCCTCTTAGGAGCCTGGCTGCAGCTGTGACCTTGCACCATCCGCCAGGAAATAAAGCTAAATAAATGTTTAGGGTGGCACAGCTTCCACCTGAGAAGTCTTTACTTCAGAGGCAGACCGGTTGCGTAGAGCCAGCAGGCGGAAAGTTTTTCATCCTTACATTCGGGGCCTCCGCCTGCGGACTCTGGGGCAGCTGAGGGAGCCACAGGGCGACGCTGGGGCCAGGCTACTGCTGCTAGACCCACAGGCTAAACATTAACTAAGCCCCGAGGCTCAAAGTCTGGGCGCCTGACCGCCTTCTGCAGCCTCAAGCATAGATGGAAAGGGCAGCCCCGGTGGGAATTGGCTGAAGCCAGCCTCACACGGGGCCTCCCTGGAGCCAAAAGCTTCGTGAGGGCGGGCTGTGCAGTCCCAGCCCCGCCCTCGCCCCTGGACCGGCAGGTCCATGTCTGTGAAAGGGAAGCAGCAGTGACTTTAGAGGACGGTCTCAGGATTAAACTAGCAAGTGCACACAAAGCAGTTATAACAGTGTCTGACACATACTCAGCACTCAGATGCCAGATGATTATCACTAATAACAAGATGAAACATACCGGAAGTCCCATGGAGGAGGGGGGACGAGTACAAGTCTGCCCACGACTTCAGAGCCCGCCTGCGGGACAAGAACATGCTCTCCCCCTACCTCTGCTGCTTCTCCCCTGCCTGGTGCCCCTCCCGCCACTCCTGCCGGCTGCTCCCTGGGGGGTGTGAGGAGGGAATCTGGAGCAGCCACCTTGGCAAATAAGACAGAAAACACTTTTTTTTTTTTTTTTTTTTAAAGATTTTTTTATTTTTTCCTTTTTCTCCCCAAAGCCCCCTGGTACATAGTTGTGTATTCTTCTAGTTGTGGCATGTGGGACGCTGCCTCAGCGTGGTCTGATGAGCAGTGCCATGTCCGCGCCCAGGATTCGAACCAACGAAACACTGGGCCGCCTGCAGCAGAGCGCGCGAACTTAACCACTCGGCCACGGGGCCAGCCCCAAGACAGAAAAACACTTTTGAAGACGGTGATGCCACAGGACAGAAGGAGCGCAGGTCCCTGAGAGCTGGAAACCACCACCACCAATCCTTGAGTTCTACACTCTGTTACGTGAGAACGAAACAAACTTCTATCTTGTGTGAGGCAAGATACTTGTTATCTTAGTCCTTTTTCAACAGCCAAACCAGTGTCCTAACTAAGGAGAGAAGGGAAGGGATCCTATGGGTCTGAGTGAGTTATAATCCTCGTCTACCCAAAAAGGGACTCAGTGGTTCAGATTCAAATGGACAAATGAGGCTACGCCAGAGGTTAACTGAAGGTGAGAACCCCAAGAAGCAGCTGAGAGCTGGAAGTGGCTCTCTTGAGGGACAGGTGGAGGAAGATGGAAAGAGACGAGAGGCTGCTGGGTGTTTTGGTGAGGAAGGTTGCCCCTGAGCTAACATCCGTGCCAGTCCTGCTCTATTATTGTCTGTGGGATGCCTCCACAGCATGGCTTGATGAGTGGGCGCCAGGTCCGCACCCAGGATCCAAACCTGAGAACCCCAGGCCACCGAAGCGAGCTCATGAACTAAACCACCGTGCCACCGGGCCAGCCCCAAGACTGCTGTTTTCTGTATAAACTTTTCACTTTCTGACTTTAACTGTTTTTCTCCAATTATTCAATAAAAATAATTCATTTTAAAACCTGCGTATACATCCACTAGGGTAGCTTTAATAAAAAAGAAGAATGACAAGTGTAGGTGAGGACGTGGAGAAACTGGGAGCCATGTACATTGCTGGTGGGAATGTAAAATGGGGCAGCTGCTGTGGAAAACAGCCTGGCAGGTCCTCAGAAAGTTAAACATAGAAATACCATATGATCCAGCAATTCCACTTCTAGGTATACACCCAAGAGAACTGAAAACAGAGACTCACACGAAAACTTGTAAACAAATATTCATAGCTTCGTTAGTCGTGACAACCCAAATAGCCATCAACAGATGATGGATAAACACAATGTGGTCCATCCACACAATGGAGTATTATGCAGCCATAAAAAGGAGTAAGCACTGACACGCTACAACGTGGATGGATCCTGAAGACATTTGTGCTCAGTGAAATAATCCAGACATGAAAGGTTACCTACTGTATGACTCCATTTATATGCAACGCCCAGCACGGGCAAATCCACAGTGGCAGAAAGCAGACGAGTGGTTGCCAGGGGCTGGGGCAGGGGGTGGGGTGTGCCTGATGATGGGTGCAGGGTTTCCTTCTGGGATGATGACAATGGTGGTGATGGTTGCAAAACGTCGTGAATGTACTAAATGTTACTAATGGTAAATTTTGTGTTATGTGTATTTTACCACTATTTAAAAAGAAAACAAATCTGTGTGCGTTCTCCTTAGTGCTGAGACATGAGTTCTTAACATCTTGGAAGTCAGAGGAGGTGTGCCTGTCGAAGGTAAAGAGCTGGACACAGGAAGATCGAACAGTGACTCACCAGCAGGGCCTCCGTGAACCCCAGCCCCTGACGTGGGGCGGCCAGGCGGGCTGTCTGGAAGAGGGAACTAGGGAGCCAGAGACAGAACCTGGATCAGGCCTGAGGGACGGGACATAGCTGCTCACCCAGCAGATCTAGCCACTATGTCCCCAGTGAGGGGATGTTTCAAATACTTAAAACACACAAAGGAATCTTTGATAAAGGAAAGAAAACCAAGTGAGATAGCAGAATGCTAACATTCTTCATTTTAAAAGCTCTGTCTTTAAAGTTCTCTTACATAAGAGCTTTAAAACATTGGGCTGCAGCCGCCCTCACCTGCCAGAAGCTGGAACATCTACAGGCGACGGTAGGAAAGCACCCTAAGACTGTCCATGCAGGAACAAGGGGCATCCGCTCTAAATGACAGTGTTCACGCCCAGGCCACGACCCCCTTCTCCCAGACCCACGCTGCAGCAGCAGCCCTGGGAGACATGTTCAACATGAGAGCTGGACGGCCGCGGGCACGTGTGGTGACCAGGTCTGGACAGGGCATCTGCCCTTATAAGCCCAGGAGGGTGTAGGGACTGTAAAGTCCTTGGGGAAATGCATCTCAAGCAGCCTGTGAATGCATTGGGAGAAGGACGTAGCTAAGCCATGATTCTCAGCCTCGGTTCCACATTAGAACCCAGACCGATTAAATCAGCATCTCCGGGTGGGGGTCCCGGGCAGGAGCAGCTGTTAAGGCTCTCAAGGGGACTCCAAGGAACAGCCACGTAGAGAAGTGCAGACCAAGAAGTCCGCCCTTCTCTTGTCCTGGTCACCCCAGTAGCGCCAGCAGATGACTTCTCCTGCCTCCGGGCCCTGAGCTGGAGACTCCGTCTCCCCACTGCCAGCCCAGAGGGAAGCAAAGCGGAGGGAGGAAGAGCCTCTCCCCTCCACCGAGCTGCCTAAGGCTGCCTTCTGGGTGTTCTCGAATCCTCGGCCAGCCTAGCAAAGTACTGTAAAGCCAAACGCAGGCCCCAACCTCGTAAGTCAAATCACACATTTCCTAATCATTTTTTGAATCCCTGAGTGACGTGGCTCCCTAAAGCTAAACAAGGGACAGCGCAGAACAATCATCACTGACGACGCTTGGGTTTTTATTTTTTTAATTTAATTTTTTTGGGGGGAAGCTTAGCCCTGAGCTAACTGCTGCCAGTCCTCCTCTTTTTGCTGAGGAAGGCTGGCCCTGAGCTAACATCCGTGCCCATCTTCCTTTACTTTATATGCGGGACGGCTGCCACACATGGTGTGCCACACGGTGCCATGTCTGCACCCGGGATCCGAACCGGTGAACCCCGGGCCGCCGAAGCAGAACACGCGCACTTAATCACTGCGCCATTGGGCTGGCCCCGGGTTTTTATTTTTTTAAGTCAGCAATAGATATACATGACACATTTGAATCAGGTGAAAGCATAAATCTCCTTCCTCTTGTGGCCCTCAGGTTTGAGAAGGGAAGCGCGTTACTAGTTTCTTACGGGCCTCCAGAATCATCCTGTGCATTGCCAAGAATAAAGCATGTTTTATAATGTGACTGGAATAGCCAAGTCATAAATCTGACCTCTGAAAATTAAAGGGAAAATAAGCTCAAACTATTCTCTTATCTCTACTACGTGGTTTACGTCGCTAAATCAGACCAAATGGTGTATCCTCCGGCAGGAAGACAGGGAATACTGTCATTTCCACAACGACCGGCTTTCACCTGGAGAGCCCGGCTGAAGGAAACAACCCTCCCCATGCTGCCACCCATCTCTGCAATGAGGTCCAGAAGCAGAGGGAAAAGTCTCCCCAAATGGCCATCAGAACACGGTTGGGCAGGCGAGCAATCCACTTCCTGTCAGCGCCTGCAATCTGGCTGTGCCCCACGTGCACAGGGAACGAAACATGACACATCACAGCCAAGGGGAAGACAGACACAGGCTTCAAGAGGCAGCTCCCACCCTCAGAGGCACCTCTTCTGAACCAGCCCAGCTCGGCGGGGGGACTGTCAGGCCCCAGGCAGCCCTGCGGAGCCCACCACACCCTGTGGCTGACCTGGGCCAGGGTGGCACGCTGTACTCAACATTTTTGTGGGAAGCATCATTTCAACTGGCAAGTGTTGGTTTTTAAACCTGAACCAGCCATTAAGACGTTTGTAGAGGTCATAACCTGATCTAAGATCAAAAAGAATTTGTGAGAAACTAGTTTAAAATCATCAATGAGATCCCCGTCTCCATCTTAGCTGAGCCTAGTATTTTTAAAGATTTTATTTTTCCTTTTTCTCCCCAAAGCCCCCTGGTACATAGCTGTATATTTTTAGTTGTGGGTCCTTCTAGTTGTGGCATATGGGACACTGCCTCAGCGTGGTGGCTTGATGAGCGGTGCCATGTCCTCGCCCAGGATCCGAACCGGTGAAACCCTGGGCCACCAAAGCAGAG